TGTCACAGGCTTATGAGGCGTATCTCGGCTTCTCCGTCACGTGTTGAAACCCGGGGGCGTTCAGGAAGCGAAGCCTGTGCACATTTGGGAATTACTGCCGAACTTCGTTGCTTTAGGGGTGGTTTTGATGTTTAACAAGTGCAAGTGTCCACTCATGAGCTTGAGTTTTTCTTTATTTACCCCAGCTCAGACTTGTATATTCATAATATGAACGTAGTCCTTTCAGGTTTTTCTGACACCAGAAAACACTTTTAGGACTGTCACTAATACAGTAGGAAAGGATTTCTCTGCAGTGTCTATTTAATGTGTGTCTACTTTTAAGTGTCTTTTTTTTTTCCTACCTGCACACACCTCTACAGACATCTCTTCTGACTGTTAACCCATCACTACTTTTTTTATGTTGCAGGTACTCTGCAGGTACCAGCACATCTGGAATATTGATCTGCGCTTTCGCCCGGCTTTCCTTGGTGGCATAATGAAAGCAACTGGTAGGCAGATATGGGGAGATACCTTCTTCAATAGTAGAACAACAGTGAGCAAGGTCTTAGTAAGTGCAGAGCCAACAGAGCCAGCTTTAAAGTAAGTTGTGGCACCAAATTAACAAATTAAGTCTAGGACTGTGGAGCTCAGCAGTGACTGAGAAAGCAGACACAAGGATTTCATACACTGCAGCTATGCTGTTCATGGCACGTACAGTCTATGCCAAAGTTTGTCAGTTCTAAAATTGGATGGTGCTAATAATTTGACATGGAACGTTTTCCTAAAAGTTCTCTGTTGAGTTCAAACCAGAATTAATTTGCGGAACACTTGCAGTTTGTAGTACGCATGAAGGATCCAAGTATGCCATAAAATAGTACTTGTGGCCTTATCAGAACAAGTTAATCACTGAGATTTATAATCTATAAAACATTAAATTAACAAGCCTCTATATTTGTTTACCCATGCATTAGTACTTGTTTAGCTTAAAAGTCACCTGAATCAATATCAGTCCCCGCTAGGGCATTTGTACCTTGGTTTAAAACTGATTCTGCCAACTTAAAGGGTCGATCTGTGCAAAAGCAAAATAAGTCATGTTTAAATCCTAGCGTTATCTTTGGTAAAACTGTGTATGCTTCAGTAGGCCAACATTATACTCCTCCTTAGGCACGTGTGTGGGTGAGGTCTAATGTGTGCAGTTTTGTTTTGTCCAGTGTTACTGTAATAGAGTTGAAAATCTCAACAGAACTTTTTCTGAAAGGTAACAGGCCCCCAGCAATGTTGCCAAAGCGTGCAGAATACTTGCTGAAGGACGTAAAAAGGATGGCAAAATACTACCAAGTGCCTGTACAAATTTCAGCAAGTGACTTCCAACGGATCATTGCTGCAAGTAAGAAAGAAACTTAACTCAGCTGTTATCTTGCAACTCCAGCACTTCTGGTTCACATTCTCCGTAACAGTAAAGGTGAATTCCTTGCCTCTTCCTGTATCTGTGAGCAATATGAGGTACGTGGATTTTTAACCATAAAAGAGATTTCTGGAGATAAATGGTTGTAAATGATATTAGCATGGAAGATACTGTGAATCAACATAAGCTTTACTGTCTGGGGGCTGTTACAGAGAGGATCATACTGTTCATAGGTAGTGCTTGTGCAGACCGCATCTGTTCCTGGTCCTGTGCCTTCTTTCAGTATGTTTCTCTGTCTTCCCACTAATGTCAGGCACTCTTGGGGCCATGCGCTTCCTCACAGCCATTGATATGACACAACCACAATACCTGGAACCCTTATCTAGGGAATTCTGGATGCGGTTTTGGTCACAGGTCAGTATTTTATGAAGCCAATTTCTTGATTCCTTCTCTGTCACCTTTCCTGTCCCACTTTGTTCAAATGTGGAATTAAAGCAAGAGAAAGGAAATGTCTTTTAATGAAAAGTCATAGCAGGAAATGTAAAGTTATAGGTTCAGGAGCCATTACAAGGAAAGAACTAACTTACACACAGCTTAATTTGCCTTCTTTTAGATATGTAATATATGGTGAGTCCTGTGGGCTGAGTGGATCAGTAGTTCATATCGGAAAGCACTCAATACACTCCTAGATGAGGTGACTTAACTTTTTCTGAGGAAAGTTCTCCAGAAACTAGTATTGGTTTGTTTGGGTTTTTTTTCCTTAGAAAACTTGCTTTCAAGTCCAGAGCTGAGCTTTTGTTCTTATGTACTGAACTACTTCTTTTATTCTTTTACCAGCATGAAGATGTCAGTGAGCCGGAGAATATATTGGCTGTAAGTGTCTCCTTTCCGTTGGTGCTTCTGTGTTTCTGACTTAGATTCTTATTGATGGCTTGGATCAGTAATAGACAGGAAGACAGCTTAGTCAAATGATTGTTTGGAGTTTTGAAAGATTTCTGCTGGAAGGAAGTGGATTTAATTTCCCTAGCAGTTGTTTGTAACGGCTTTAGGGTTTTCTTGCCTGTGCTTTGAATGACACTCAGAACCAGAATCTCCTTTTTTGTTAATTCATGTGGTGAGATACCCAGGATGGACAATGAATTATGTGTTAATACTGTGCTGTTAACAGTGGTGAAAGTGTGAACAGTGTCTCCAGAAAGCATTGAGGTTTTGCTGCTATATGAAATCTTCAGGTGAAATGCAACACTTTGGGGAAGTTGACTTTCCTTGGAGTGCTGGAGCCAGGCTTTACTATGAAGTTCAGTGCTGTCTTGCCCTTTTGGATGCATAGAAATTGTGCTCTTTTGATGTATTTTCTCTTGCTGTTTAGATTTTGCTTATTACAGTGAAAGCTGTAATGGCATGTAAGTTACTATACCACAAGATCCTCTTTGTAAGGGCACTCGTTTCTACTTTTAGAAAACATCTACCTTTACCTTTGGCCACTTTATCTCATTTCTGGGTAGCAGAGGCACATAGGAGGAAAAAAAGATACAGCAGTGACACTAGCAACTGTTTAACCTCTGTGAGTTACAGTCTCTTTCATGCAGTATCACTTATAGATCCTGTGTGGCTGTATTTGCCATACTGTTTTGTCTTGGCAGGCTTGGACAGCAAGATCTGCTTTTTCAAAATAACTTTTTTTTGGGGGGGTGAGGTTACCTAGTAAGTCATTGGATCAGAGGTTAAACTTAGTATTTCTCTCTTTTTTTTTACTTTTTTTTCTGTTTAGGAACTCTTGAAACAAAGTGCAGATTTGGGGCTTGGAAGTTTAAAATATCCCTTCTACTTTGTATCTGAGAGTTGGTAAATGATGAATGGGTTGGGAATACGGCAAGACAGTTGTGCAAGAAGTGCTTTAAGAGTATTTTGTAATTTTTTTGATAATAGACTTTGGGTGATAATACTGAATAGTAAATTCATTAGATCATAGTAGGAATTAGAATGTTTAGTAATACTCTGAATTATATCATCTTTTCTCAGGTTGCCAGACAGGCTGGGCTATCATCAGAGCTTGCCCAGAAACTGCTTAAAATGATTTCATCCCCTGAAGTGAAGAACCGACTGAAAGAGACAACAGAGGAAGCCCTAAAATATGGGGTAAGATGCTTCCAATGCCACTTGGCATTCACAGCTATGCATTCCTTCCCTACTAAGAGTACTGGGAAGCAAGAAACAACAAAGGTGACAATTAGAAAGCACTACAGACCATCTCTCTTAGGTGGTCTTTGCTCCTTGAACGTGTGAAAGCTGACTCTGTTGTTGGTAGCTTATCTCACTGTCATTTGGGAAACCAAGGTTGACCTATTCAGCTCATTCCAGCTGGACACCAAGGATGGGGAGCTACAGGACCCAAGAGATACAATTTATTGCTACTTGACATAAAACTGTGGATTTACCAGGCTGCTTTTTTTGTTCCTTCAAAAGGGGCAGAAGGGGAGGAAAAAACAGTCAAAGTTTTTGCTTTTTATTCCTGAAGACTGATCATTTGTCTGCAAAAATGTCTCTCATTATAACACTCTCTGTTTCATCTCCATGGTGTCAATAGGCTTTTGGGATGCCTGCTGTTGTGGCGCATTTTAATGAGGAACATCACCTCTTTTTTGGCTCTGATCGTTTAGAGCTACTAGGCAACGTTATAGGTGAGTGTACCTAATAACATCACTTTTGGTTTCATGCTTTCACCCTCTTTTAATGAAATATGTCATACAGCTAAATAAAACACTCTTAAGGTCTTTCAAATATTACATAATGTTAGATATTCTTCTCATGGGTTGAAACTGACTGGAATGTATCTCAGTACAGTTAGAGCAATGAAAGTCACTATGGTAGTCACTAATCCTAATCTGAATGTTATGGCCTGGTTTCTAGTCTCATCTCCAAAGACGTCAGCAGATTTTTCCTTTTGTTTCTCTGACTCCCCAGCCTTCCAACCCTTTTTCTCTTCCTTACCCTCGGCCCTTCAGAAAAATGAGTCCTGAAAAGATCTGGCTTTACTTTTATGTGGAGTGCCACAGGCCTGCAGAATCTCTCATCTGTGACAGAGGAAAATAATTCTTCTGTACAGCTTCAGTTGTGACTGGACAGTGAAGGATTTATGCAGCTGGCTGAAGCATGCCAAACAAGATCTAAATCAGTAGTTACCCTTCAGAAGAGGAGTAGGAACAATCATCTTACTGCAGAAACGTGACTGGCCAATCACTTCTATGTATTAAATTTTAACTTGCTCTGTTGTGCTGGTTTGCCTTGCAGGTGAAAAATGGCTGGGACCAGTTCCCTCAGTTCCAAGCCCCAAGATGTGAAAAGTCCTGGGGAAATACATAACAGTGAAAATACTTACGTACATGGTCAATCATCAGCAATTATCCAAATGTATTCAATTTCTGGGAGAGAAGGTTTTCTCATCTCCAACAGCTAACTTTACAGCTCAGTTTTATCTCTAATTATGAAGAAGTTCAAGGTTTGCCAGTATTGCCAGTCTGGTGAGGTCTTTATCAATACAAATATGCTTCTTTTCTTTCAACAGATTAATGATTAAAATTAAAGATTAAACATTAAATATTTAACTTCTTGGTGATGAAACATTCTTCTTCCCTAATTAGTTCTCTAAAAGCATGAGGATTAAATTGTTGTTACAGGACTGTGATCTCTGGATTTCTCATATCTTCCTGCTTATCCTTTAGAAACACACACACACACACACACAGCCTAAAAGAAGCTGGTCATACTCTTCTTTTATTTTAAGTCCAAGATACGACATAGACACTAGAAGCACAGGACAAGGTAGCTTATGCTTCCTTTTACTCTGCAGCATGGCAATTGCAGGGGACACAAGAGAGAAGAGAGAAAGAGTGAGGGACAGTTCAAGCCCAAAGATAAACCTGGAGAACAAATCACATATTTCAAAAGGAACTGTCCCACTTCTGGACAGTATTTTATACACCTTGCTCTGCAGTGACTGACATTTGAGGAGACCACCACACACATGCATTCTCAGGCACCAGCCCCAGACCTTGCAGGGGCTTTTAATTAATGCCAGTTTTGCAGTAATGTCTTTGGAAGACAATGATGAATACCAGTGAAGTTTACAATTAAGTTTAGTTGGTAACTGAACCACACTGTGTTTTGCTTCCTCAAGGATGGCCTAATTGCTGCCTACCCAAAGCTGATTTGGATGTGGCTACGAGGCACTTTCCATCATATAGTCTGCAGATGGAAAAATATGCAAACAATACGACTAAAACCAAAACGCTTTCATTTTTCACTCTCCTCTCCAATTACAGTAGTTAGAAATTTCACACTGAATAGTTTGAACCTGGCCCTGTATTGGCTGAATTGGAATAATGCACTAGAATTAATTTGATTAGCATGAGGCTTGAATTTTCAGTGAGTCCTGGCTGTCTCTGATGCATCACTGAAGGAAGCAGAAGAATTAGCAGCAGCTGGAATTCCAGTTTTTTGTCTCTTTCTGAACTTTAAGGTAAAGTATATTCATGTTTGTTCACTCAAACACCAAATCCTGGAACAAAGCATCAGAAAAAAAATATGTATATCCTTTATGTTCTGACAGCTGTAAGTGCTGTGGGAGTAGCATTTGTTCCACCATCCACAATTTTTCCTTCTTACACCTCTCACACCACCTTACACCTCAGCTCTTCAGGAAATATCCTATAATTTGAAAACTCCTTCTTCCTTTTCACCAGTGCACCCCAACTTTGGGCAAATCCAGCCTGGAATTTAAGGAAATTTTTGTGAGACATAGGAGGCTACATTCATTTAGGAGTTAGAATGACAGGGAAGTTAGCATGTGTGTAGATGCCATAGGTTTCTTTGAGTCCTTTGTGAAATAATTTTTGTTACTATTTCTCCCCTGAAATTTGCTAGTCTCTAGTTAGTGCTATGAAACTGATTTTGAGGTTCTGAAAAACATGGAATGACTGCAACATCGCTTTAAGCCAGATCACCCCAGTGACCTGAAGCCACTGCCATAGGCAGAGCTGTCTCAGAAAGGGGTAAAATGGGAGGTCATGAACTCTGGTGGGAGGGTGGGGAGGATGCAAGGAACACCTTGAAATAATCTCACAGTGAAAGCCAGGGTCTCATGAAACTGTCATTTGAACCAGCTTGACTGAAAATAAAACCAGCCTTTGTGGCAGAACGTTGATCTGGCAGATGGACCAAATGAGATGGATTTTATAGACTGCTATGTATTTCCCAAAAATTATGTTAAAGGCCCTTAGACCTACTTGAAATCAGTGGAAATGAAATGCTCAAAGCCTTAGGTACTAAAATAGTACTTAAATACTATTGAGATAAAGGAAACCCAAACCCAGGATTTTCCTTACATCGCTTATTGCCTGTGATAGCCGCTAGTAAGTGGTTACAGCCCTTGCATTTGTATCAGTGAGTATGCATATCGTTGCAACTCTGACTATACCTACTTGGAGCAAAAGTTTTGGGAGCAAAGCTTTGAGGAAGTTCTACCTCTTGTTTAGGCAACCTTGCTCCTGCATTAGAGACCTGATCATAAGCACAAGCTCTTGGCAGACACCGTGGTGATGACCCCAGTAAACACTGGCTGACAGCTACGCTCTCATTCTCAGTACTCCCCTTTGGTGTAGTGTGCATTTAAGTAGTCTCAGCGGTGAGCACCAGCTTCTTTACCTGGTTTCCCTTTCTGATCTTCTGTCTGTGTGAGTCTGCTGCAGCACCAACGGCCACCGCCACATGGAGCTGAGCTGTTTGTGTGCTCTGAGTGCCACCAGGTGGCAGCGCAGTTCAAAGTCAAGCATTAACTGAAAAAACATTGAGGATCTAAACTTGTGTCTATCAGGCATGGGGGTAAATGCTTAGCTTATCAGGCTAAGCAGTAATAAGAACTGCCAGCTATTTTGGAATAGCTGAAACAATTTTCTTCCATAAAAATAACACCTCTTCTTCTTAGCTGTATACCAAACTAGTTCCTCAGAGCCTCACATCCACATCACTTTCAAGATAGCATGCTGTTTAGCTATCAAACCAGTGAGCATAATGGGCAAGGAAAGGGACTTGGAGCCAAAAGAGCGACTCTTAGCGATGTAGGCAAAAGTGGACTATGAACTCCAGGGAATAAACCTGGAGTTGTGTTCCCCTTTTGCTTTATTACAGACCTCACCAGGAGGTTCAGACCCACTTCCCATGTCTGGAAAAGCTGTGAAACTGGCATGGAGAAGTAGGTCCCACCAATGCTAGATTGAAAGCAAAAAAACAAGTGCAGACATAGGCACGAAGTCAAAACATAGGCAAAAGAAAGTGGTTCAGTAAAATAATAAAACCATAGGAAGCAGAGGATAGGTGCAGAGAAAGCTAGGTGTCATCCGAGCAAAGAAATGGTTACTGAAAAGCTGATGGTGTGATAGGGGATGCATGTTAATGTGAAGAAGTTTCCTCTGTTGTTCTGGTTTTTTTGTTTTGTTTTGTTTGTCACCAGACATCTGCTAGTTTCATTTGAAGCCTTCTCTTTATTGTGTTGGAAACCAAGTGAATAATGGCTCCCTGTACCACTTTACCGTGCTTTTTGTGACACTATGGACTCTTAATGTATTTCTTATATAGACTCTTAATGTGTTGCGGCCAGCAGGTCAAGGGAGGCAATTTGTGGCCAGAAGGTTGAGGGAGGTGATTCTGCCCCTCTACTCTGCTCTCATCAGACCCCACCTAGAGAACTGTGACCAGTTCTGGTGCCCCCAGTACAAGAAGGACATGGAGCTGTTGGAGCAAGTCCAGAGGAGGGCCATGAAGGTGATCAGGGGGCTGGAGCACCTCTCCAATGAGGGCCGACTGAGAGTGTTGGGGCTGTTCAGCCTGGAGAAGAGAAGGCTCTGGGGAGACCTTCTTGTGGCCTTCCAGTTCCTGAAGGGATCCTACAGGAAAGCTGAGGAGGGACTTTTTAACAGGGCAGGTAGTGACAGAACGAGGGGAGATGGTTTTAAACTGGAAGAGGGTAGATTTAGATCAGATATTAGGAAGACATTCTTTACTGTGAGGGTGGTGAGACACTGGCACAGGTTGCCCAGGGAAGTTGTGGATGTCCCCTCCCTGGAAGTGTTCAGGGCCGGGCTGGACAGGGCTTTGGGAAACCTGGTCTGGTGGGAGGTGTCCCTGCCCATGGCAGAGGGGTTGGACTGGATGAGCTTTAAGGTCCCTTCCAACCCAAACCAGTCTGTGACTCTATTCTATGATTATTAACTGTGAAGCCGTACAGTACTTGCTGCACTCTTTCGGTGAGGCCAGTGATGGCCCAGGGGCCTGTCTCCACCCTGAGACATGGGCCTACAGCAATTCTCCATGTCCATTACCTGTGCTCCTCACCCAGTGTGCACTGGGACAGTCCTCCAGCGGTGACCTCAGACGCAGCACAAAATGGAGGCCTGCAGAACAAGGCAGTTCTTTAACCTTCCCCTGCGAGCACCTCCTTATTGTCCTTTCAACCCTCAGCAAGCAAAGCCTCCTAAATTAAGTCTCTCTTTTCTCCCATCCTTATTTCTGTGCAAGTGAGAAGGAAACATTTTATTAAAGCACTTACTGGATTATGGTGCTGAGCATCTGCTTTGCTGCCTTTTCCTTTTCCAGTGGAGCCAGCAACACTGCTGGAAGGAAGCAACCTGCTTCCTAGAAGGGAACCAAGCACAGAACAATAAAGAAATAATCAAGAGGATATACCAGGAGCTGCACACATAGCTGGTTTTACCCCAAACTTTCCACAGATCTGTGGCTCATCCACAGGTAAGAATGAAAGGAATGTATCTACACTCAACTTGACTAATGTTACCTTCACCTACTTCTCATTCCAGCTTGAGACACAAGGAAAATGACTACTTGGCTTCCATTTCTTAAAAAAAACCAACATTGGCCACTGGTTCCAGACCGCATTTCAATGCCACACCTGTTCTGGCTATAGCTTCTTGTCTAAAGAAGCTATGTCTACAGCTATCTAATGAGCAATGAAGGCATTCTCCAACTTTACTAAATGTTTCCATCAGTCCCATTTTCAATTTCTGTATCAGTCTACTGTTATACACAAAAGACAGTTTAAAATAATATAGCAGGTTCCAGTAGGTGACAGCACCATACTGTCAAGCTAAGAAATGGCATTACTGAATACATCCGTGCAACCTGAATGCTTTATCCTTAGGAATACACCTTGTGAAGCAGAGTCTAATCTCATGATCTCACAGTGTTTCTCTTATCCTCCCTCAGCCCCCTCCAGATTCCCACATCTGACCTCATGGTGTAAGGAACTTGCCTATCATCACATATCAACACCATGGCAAAAACTTTGCAAAATTTACAAACTTAAGTCATTCATTTGCTTTCTGTAGTGATCTTATATTCATCATACACATTTCACAAGAAACGAGTATGAAGCTTTAACATAATAGCCCTCTTCAACCAGTCTAGTTCATTCTTAGGTCACCCTCCATCCTATGCTCGAAGGATGGTTTAAAAATCATTAAATATAATTTCATAAATAGTATAGCTTCTGGCCGTTTATGCATAGCTGTATTGCAGCAGTAAACCTGTATTATAACTCTTTTCTTTGAATCAGAGAAAAATGGAAAGAGTTTGAATTAAAGAGTTGGTGTCAGTGTGGAATGTGCTAAGGGGGCAGAAGGAGCAGACAAATTACTTTGACGGCTTCTTACACACCATTCAATAAGAAAAGCTGTCAAATTCAGCTAATGAGGGATTCCTGCACTAAGATGGTAGGCCAAGATGCTCTTCACAGAAACATTTTTTTCTATTTTAACTATACATGATCATACCATTATTTTCTAGGGAACAGATGACATGCAACTGTGTGTCAGCAGTTTTTCAAAGGTAGACTATCCCCTTTCCCAATTTCATGCTGTAATTTAAAACTCCAGTGTTTAAAAACAAAATTGGTAATTCATTGCCATTTGTTGCTAAACTGTGGCTTTAAACAACATGAATTTGTAGTACCATGGTTCTCCATTTTTCATACATCCCAGCTCCAGTACTTTGAAATTTAGTTATGATCTCTTTGTAGACAGTGTGTAATAGACCAAATAATTGAATAAAAAAACATCCAAAACAACTATGCACATTAACTCAATTAGAAGTGTCTTAAAGAAAGTGTTAAGGAAGGTTACAGCTGAATTTATATCCTGGCCTTGAGGCTAGAAAGAAAGTCACTTCTGCCCCATGTGATATGCACTGGCATATGAGATATGTTGATGCTTTAAAGCCCACTCAGAAAACAGCAGTTTTGGCAATGGCAGCTCTCTCTATCTAATTCTGGTAGCATGATGACCACAGACTGCTGCTATTTTTTTTCCTTTGTAACTTTGCTCTCTCAATCTGAATGCAAATCGGAGAATCCAATGGGATAACATGGGTTAGGAATTCTAGAATCATTCAGTGTAAGATCCAGACTTACAGTGGGCATCCAAAACATTTTTGATTTCTTCATAAAAAAGCAGTTTGGTCTGATTTTACACAGTCCATTAACTGTGGCTCAATAGTTACTGTACTAACTATTGTATTGTAATAATAGTTATTTTATTAATTATAGTTCTTGTAGAATAGCTCACTAAAGGGCAAAACTAAAACACCTGGATACGGTGTCCCAAGGTGGTTTTTTTTCTTTCAGTTTAGCTTAACTCTGGCATTTCTTCAGTTTATTATGCCTGGTTATGGATAATTACAGTTCTTCCCTGTTGCATAGATTAACCAAATTATCAATGTTCATTTAAATGTTATTTTGTCTAGGAATATTAACATGTATTGCCACACTTGATCTTTTACTATTTAGTCTTCTATCAGGACTGGCTGTAGTAACAGATAGTAGAATTTTTAGTATTTGCAGAAAACCAAATTTATCATCCCTGTTGGTTCTTTCCCCCTATAATTTTTTAGCACAACAAATTGCTCTTAATATTATCTTCTTCTAGCCTAAGAACTGTCAGAATTTCTGAAAAATAAAATTTCAAAAACTTTGGAATTCCTAAGGGCAAAATTTCACCTCGTACTTAGAAAACGCAGGCTCAACTCTGCTACCTCATGTACCTCACACACACGTGTAACCTTTTATTCCTCCCTCTCTGCCCCTTCCTTCAGTACCACAAACACATTCTAAATGCATTTAGTGGCATCATCAAGCTTTCTTACTGCAGTCAGCAATGGCACTCAAGACTGTATCTCTACAGTCTCCTGATTAGGTGAGTTGATTTCAACTAGTCAGAAAAGCATACACTATGTTTATCCCTTTTAACTATGGCTCTCCTGGCATAAATCAGAAGTTCATATACAAACCTGCCTATTTATTGGTATCCTTTATATACTTTTTTTTAAATGTCTTCACTGAAGATATAAGAGTAGATAAATTACAGCAAAAAATCATCAGTCCTGCAGGGTGCAGCTCTCTCACCATGCCAAGGTACTGAAAAGCCACAGTGAAAGTTTTGCAGTGTATCAGATCACTGCCATTGACCATGGAGTACATAAAACCTAAAAATTATGATGAACTTTACATCACATTCTCTGTAATGATTATTCTCAGTGACGTATATTAACGACGTATATACCTGTGGGACAATAAGGAGTCAGCAGATAAGGAAACTATCTGGGAAGAGCAGCAGAGGCCCCTGATAGCGTCCCTACTTCCAATATCCATAATAAAAGGCTATTGGCTAGGCTGAATAACCTAGCACTCCTCTAGTGGAGAGTATACTGAATCAGCAGCTCTTTCCCCAAGGTGTCAATGTGGGAGCTCAGAGGAAGCTGGGTCTCTACTGCCAACCTAGCACTTGGATCTGGATCTGAACTTTTATAGCTCAACTACAGCTCTAGGATCCAGTGGGATTTTCTGGCAAGAAAATAATGCAAGAAGGAAAATGTTGCACAAGTACTAGAGGGGTAAAAGGAGAGAGAACTCAAGCCAATATAATAAAAGTTTCTAGTGGATCACTTCCACTGGGCTTTACATGACACAGTTAGATGGGAGTGAAAAGTGGGTATGTGGAAAGATCACAGTTGAATTAAGCTATGGCCTATGGCTGGGGAGATGTAACAGCACTGTTAAAAACAGCACTGTGTTATGTCTGTGCTTGTGAGAGCTCTTGGAGAAACGGAGGGCAATGGGAACTGCAGTTGCCCACAAAGTCAAAAGGAATGTGAAATCTTTTACTTGGTGACAATAAACAACTTCTGACACTCAAGCAAAACAAATTAGTTTGCATTTACAATAATTTTCTGCTCCCATTAGCAATTATCATCACAAGTAAACACAAGCTGTTCGTTCACTTTTGGCAGAGAACCATCTTTCACACCTGTTTGGTCTCAGTGCAGTGCCACAAAGGCAACGGGAGTGAATGAAGCTCAAACATTTGTGAGGGGAGCTGTGGCGTCTAATAACCCCAGACCTGTGGAAATGGTAGCCTGGACAATGCCATTCAAGGCCTTTGAAAGCCCTCACACCACAAGGCACAAAGCAGTTACTGCCTTTATGGTGTAATTTCCACATCCTTAAAAAAGAGAGTTTCATGGTGTGGGGCCTCCTGGCCTTACAGTATTGAATTATCACTCTTGCTCTGAGCTGATGACACTGAACTGTATCTTCCTAGCCTTCAACACAAGGATCTACAGAACCTTATTCCCAACTTCTCCCTCTTAATAGCAGCTCATTAGCTGTTTTCTGCTGTGAAGGCTCCTGACACGCTGCTTTTTCATATCACCACATTTCACACCTTTATGTCTCTCCCTCAGGACAGGTAGGCTCTGTATATAGCACCCCACTTCCTAATTACAGCATATGACATGGCTTTCTTCTTCCTCTGCATGATCAATAAATCTGCTTATTTTTCCTGCTCTTCCAGTTTCAGTACCAGCCCCTTGAGTTCTCTTGTGCCTTTAAGTAGACAAGCACTCAAGCTGTGAGTTGTTCTGCAGAAGTGGAGAAATCTTACACAACATCTCACAGAACAGAGGTCTCTGCAGAACATCTCACTGTGTCAAATCTTCACTGCTGTTGCTACGATACAGGCAAATTTAAGCAGGGATCTGATGACCACTCTTGAGACCTCAGACAGGGCTGCGGCAGACTGAGATATACCTAACTCTGTCTTCAAAGTAAATTGGCTCTACTTTCTGACTCTTGTAGTCTTTTTTGATAATTCCTTTTCACACAATTCTTATACAGATTTCATTGTTCCTTCCAACCAACTCCTCCTTGCCATCCACATAATCCCTACTATCTCTTACCATCTCAACCTGTTCTTATTCAAGTATCTTTTACCAACAAATGTTAAGTTTTGCCTTTCACAGCCCCTACCGACTTCGCAATCTCAAAAGCTTAGCCTTTTCAATCATACTTTTCCAAAATCTTACACAGTTCCTTCAGCCTCATTCTCAAAAACAGGCTGAAACTGATTGAAATTTTCCATAATTTTAGCTTTAGGCTGATGCTTAACAAGAAATGCTTCAATCCCAAACAGTTAATTTTAACAAAGTGAAACACAATTGCAAACAGGGTCCGAGACGGGGGCAGCTGATACAACCTCAACAACAGATACTGCAATAGTTCTGCCTGCTATGGGAATTACTAAAATCATCTCTGCACTGTGAATGGATCCAAGCTGACTTTAATCAACTACTTCAGCTTCAATCAAGTACCACGCTAAGAGCCCAGCCTTGGCAGTCAAAAAGCTCAGTGCAGGTTAGCTGCCCGATTACCCACCTTCTTAGGAGCATACTGCTTTGTTCAGGAAGCACTGTTTCTGTAATTCCCACATCCAAACTATCCAGTTTGGGAGACACTGCATTCCAAAAAGCAACCATTGAGATACATGCTCTCAACAGAAACACATATATACATTAATTCTTTGCAGTCTACTGTAACTCTGCAGTGTGTACAGCGCTACTTATTCATTCTACTGAAACACGCTTCCCATTCTCTCCCCAGTATAGTTTGCATGCTAGCTTCTCTCCCCATTTCTCCAAGTCTATCATCTACCTATGTTTCTCAAACCTTAAGCGCAGCTATACAAAAGATTTTGCCAAACAAATGTGGCTCAACCTCACATGTGCTTCTAGAAGCATCAGCAGAGGCTTTTTTTTCTGGTTTCTTTTTTTACCTGGTGAGCTAGAAGTACTGGGTGTGCAGTCACTGTCATCCAGCCATATACTCTGAACCACTGAATCCTGTTTTGGAGGGCCCTCAAGAGAGCACATCAGCTCCTGGAGAGGGCAAAGAAGACATGTTTTAATAATGCACTTGGTAAAATCAGGGAGGTAGCCTGTTTGTTAGAGATCATACACCCACCCTGTCATTCTCCTCTTCCTCGGAAGTTTCATTTTCCCTCAAACCACTACAACAACTGCTTACACTGGATGAAGAACGTGAGAATGGCTGCATCACACAGTATCCTGAAGTCTGACTCCTGAGCATTCTGCGAAATGCAAGCATTCAACATCATCATGCTTATTGTTACACATGGGCTTGCACTTTTTGTGACACAGATTTATTATATAGCAGTCAGAAACAGTAAAAAGAAATTATTCATCCACAGCTAGTTTTTCCACCTAGGAACAGAATTCCTGTTATTCCTGGCTTGCATTCCTTCATTTCTAGTTGCTACTTCATTTAGTAGAAGCACCACTTCTTGTTTCCATTCTTGATAACCACACAAAAAGACTGAATTTTTAAGTCATGGACCTAAGTGTCTAAAAGCAGAGTGAGTCAAACCACCTGCACTTGAGCACTGTTTACCTCTAGGTATTCATTAAAATCAACAGATGCCCTCATTTTGAAGATCAGAGATTTTAGGAGTTTAGATACAACATGATGAGGTGTTAAACTGCATATAAAGGGAAGGCACTACCCAGCCTGGGCCACCCATTCCCACCATCACTCTCAGCCTATCATGCTTGGTGTTATCTGAAATTCCAGACAGTACAAGGGGACTATAAAAGCACAATGTCATAGAGCTTATAAACAATCACCGCCGTGTTTCTGGACAGTTGTAACAGGAGTAGTCAGGATAGCATATAAACATTAACTAGTATTATAGGATGCTTAATTAGGAAAGTTTAAGGAAGCAATGGGGAAGTAGAAACAAATTACTGACATCTGCATTATTTTAGGATGTCTCATTGCCCAACTATTAGGAACAAGTGCGAAGTTCTTGCACAGACAGGTCAGAACCCTCCTCCTGCTTACAGGTAGGAACATACCTAGGCCCATCCTGGTGATTTTGCATGTGCCCAGTTGCCAGTAGACTGGCTGCTGCTGTAGGTGCATCCCACTAGACTTTTAGCTCCCACAGGGTCATTACAAAGGGAACATTCAAAGCACACTGTATGGGATCACTTGACCACCACTCTCAAATGTCATGGACACTGAGGTAGCCTGGTGCATGTTTCACATCCATCAAGAAAGACTCTTAAGGTCAGCTTCTCCTATATAAGAATTTGGGAACCACTGCTTGCAGTAATCTAGGAGAAAAAGCAGTGCGTGAGGCTGATATGCTTACATGCTGGAAAGTGCACTGTGCATGTAAGCCTAATGTTTATGGTGAAATACTCATTGCCTGCACAAGACCAGCCAATAAGAGAGAGATGAAGTGCTTAAAAATGTTAAGAAACCCCAAAAATCTAAGAGAGGCAAGAAAGATAAGACACCTTTAACATACTAAATATATTTATTCCTTCAGAAACACTGCAAAATTTGGCCAGTCTTGACCTACAAGCAGTAATGAAACCTAAAGTCCCAGGCATATTACATGCCAGCATGCAACAGGGAGAACAGTAAAGATAGGGCCAATATAGGCCAAAGATATTTCCTCAGGAGATTAGGAAATATATTTTGGAGGAAATGAAGGCCAACATGCTTCTCCCTTGGCAGAGCAAATCAATAACATGAATTTAAGTGAGCTGGGACCTAGATTTCCACAAAGTATGTCCTTCTCAGCATCCTTCCTCAGCAGGTTTCTCCATCCTCATTCTCTGCACTGCACTTCCTGACCTATGTCATCCAAAAGCACTAGAGACAGAGGTGGAAACATGTTCTTCTGCTCTTGCCTTCTGCAGGCCAAGCTGTTCTCTTCTCGCTCATCTGAGCGGAGGGGAAGAGAAGGGGAGGTACTCAAGGTGGCCTGCTTCCCCCATCATTAGTAGATGCTCATTCAGTGCCTGCTGACTGGGCAATGGGAAGGCCATAGAGCCAAAATGCTCCAATAGGAGCTATCTGTCCATCTCCCTTTCCCAGGATTCCTGCTCCAGGAACTGCCAGTGGAGAGTTACTTGGTGCCACTTGGTCTCTCCACAGTCCTTGAGGTCCTCTAAGTAAGTTCATGCTTCTCTTAGCCAGGACTCTCATTTCACCCCAAAAGTCTTGCCAGTATCTTCAGTGAGGTAACCAATGACTGAGTAGCATCCGGTCCACTCCTGATTGGCTTGATGTCCCCACTCAGATGTGTCTGAGGAGGGAAAACACACACACAGAAAACCCATGTACTTTTCCTAGGATTTGGACATACACAGTACAGTGCTTGATTTTTCAGATGCAACCCAGAAAGCCTTCTGATCCTGAGGAGTTTCGCTATGTGGTCACTTAGGCTGGGTTCATTCTTTTGAGTCTGTCCCTTGGGAAGAAGGATTATTTGGAAGACTACTGGATAGTGGAGCAGAAAAACTAAGGACAACTGTCCCTGAATGTGGGAGAGAAGACACTGTTAGCCCAAGCGAACAATGCAGTTTTATGGATTGCAGGCTGATCACTGCAGAAGGGTGTGTTGGAAATCAGCATGCATGGACAGAAAGTGCTGGTTTGTTTCTACTGTAAAAGAATTAATCTATTATGTATATGTTCCCTTTGCATTTATTTCCAGGTTGGTTTTAGTAGAACATGGATGAAGTGTTAGATCATTTAAGTCTGGAATCCCAAACGATTACTTAACACCAGCAGCGGCATGCTAGACGTTCCTGCTGTGATGCTATTCCCTGGAGATAACCAGGAGTGAACTGATGACATACTGCTAGGGATAACATTTTTAATATGGGCTGCGTAAACTACTCTAGAACAAGCAGAAACTCTTTTTGCATTAGAAATATGCCTATATCATGATCCTGATTTGTGGTTCCACAGTTAATGAACAATAACTTCAGCAGAACTGCGTCTGAGACAGACTGTTAGAATTACACTACTCGCCTGTTCCTGCAATATTGTGCTAATAATGTCTTGGTGAAAATGGTGTGGTTTACATGGTGGAATTACATGTCCTTGATTCCCTGTCCCTGATATGATGCAGAAGGTATGACTGCATGTGGGCTGGTCCCTAACTCTGAAATCACAACTCTAACTCTGGTTAATCCCCAGTTGTGCAAAACTCCAGGCTACATCCCACCTCATAAACAACCTGTCCAGGAATGGGCAGAATCACCACAACTGTGAAAAGAGTTTTTCTGGTGATCGTACAGGTGGTTTTGAGTCCATGACTGGAAAAAGATGCATAGAGAGAATCCTAAGGACAGAAGCAGACAAGCTGCCAAATCATACAGGTCATGCCTCATGTGCATAAACAATATTCATGCAAGTATTTTTAGTGAAATTCCATGCTGTGATTGCTTTCTGAAAGCATGTGATACCAATTTAAAACAGCCATTGCAGCTGGCTCACCTCCTCGGCTGATGAATGGAGAATGGAGATTGGGAAGTGGGGGAAGCCCACAGTCAAATGCAGAAATCAGGAACAGATGCCAAGAAAGCTTCATCATCTTTTTCCAGGACATGCACACATTCTACAGTAGGGTAACCAAGACTAGCTGAGCTATGAGATGTTTTCTTACTAGGCAGTATTCTTGCTGATTATGCAAGGTTACTTCAGCTACCTAATCAGAGCAAGACTCTCTCATGTATGCCTAGCCAGGAACTTCAAGTTCACTAACAAAGTCCCAGGCCGGATGAGGAAGGGGAGGTGGAATGATGTGGTTATACTGGAATATGGGGGCTGCAGACCAATAAGCAGTGCCACGTCCTGCATTCTGTCTCATCCTTGGCTGCGAGACCTAGCATCTTAAATGGTCTGCATCTCCTAGCTGCGCTCCCATTCTCCTCCTCACCAAAATTTCGGATACCCACTCAACCCAAAAACTACTATCACAAAAACATACTTACCAGAATTCTGCACCTTGGCTGTGACAAAATTCTGGGCAATCCTACAGCATAGAATTGGGTAGCTGAGCTACTGCAAATAGTCACCAGCCTGTAATTCTTAAGGGAGCACTGGGTCTAGTCGGAAAGAAGGCCATTTCTTGTCAGACTTGGCACCTGGAGCTACTACAGCCACAGAGGCCTGGCTCTAGGGCACCTCCTGAAATTTTCTTAGCGCAGCCCCAGTCTTGAGAAAGGGATATGTCCTACTACAAAGTATTCAGTGCCCTTTTTGCCACAGGTCTCATCCAAGCTCTCCTGAAAAAAATCAGGTGTGTCGTACTGTTCAAGTCAGCTGCAGCCTTGGATTTTGAGACGGGCTGCTCTGGAGTCTTGGAAATGTGTATGTGTGGTTTCCGTGAAGCCCTGAAGTATCCTAGAGAGGATCACATCCCAGCATAATACAGCTTAGCAACAGTGAGGCTGCACTATCAGAAAAGTGCGTTTTTCCAGTTTTTTACCATCAGAAACTGGAGAACAATTTTGCAGACTACTGCATGAAGTATTTTGCAGGAAAACACTGGATGTGTATGGTGTGCTTTAGCAATGAAACATAGGTGCAGAACATGAGACCCTGCTGTAACACCTACTGTATCACTCTGGGAGGACTGAAGACAGGCTAGTTCACATTGGTTGGGAGCAGCAGCACGAATCCTGCTTAAAGGGGCAAAACCTGAGTACAACCCAACATCCCAACATACCCTTGTCCAAGCTTCTCCATGAAGCTCCAAAATCACTCCAGAGCAAACTATAGGGGAAACATATACATGAGTAAGCATGAATAATTGGACAGCTAGGGCTTTGTGTATCCTGTTAGATGCAAGCTAACATTACAGTAAAGATAGAGCTAAAATCACCTTTAAGTGGTCCAATCTTCCTTCACTGGGTGTTTAAGAAAGCTGATTTTCTTTCTTACATGCTCAAAATTACTGTGCCACGGCCAGACATCTAACTTTCAAGATGCTGCAATGCCCGATGTGGACAATCTCAATAAAGCCTCCAACAGAGCAAGACATGCACCACACATAAAGCCAATATCAGACACAGTGAGCATCTTTAAAGTATTAAAATTATTTTCAACTCACTTGCTCTTCCTGGTAGGGAACTCTGGGGAGCTGGGACTGGATGATCCATCAGACTTCAGGTCAAAGAAGGTTCCTGGACTGTCCAGCACTTTCTGTATCCTCTCCACAGGGTCTCTGTTGGGACAAAAGAGAAACCAGCTATAGCCCAGAGCCACAGTTAACCACTGTCTATTCTAACCCTTCCTTACAATCCACAGTACAAAGCTGGATCTCTCAGGGAAGCAAATACAGTTGTGTTGGAAAGGGCAGACTCCTTAGATGTGACCTGCTGAGGGCAATGTATTAGAAATGGCCAACTTGAAGTTCCTTCTGAATTGATATAAATGCCTAAATTAATTTCAGTATTCTCCTTTAATTCTTCAACTTTTTCTTCTACCCTGCCCATTTCATTGGTCTTAAGAAGCTTTAGGATTAATTAGAGAGCTTATATATTTATTGCCTAAAGAAAACAGGATTCAGCAAGTTTCCCAGTTTCAGTGTGGTTACAATAGTTTTATTACTACTAGTACTTGTCAAGACACTTCTAAAGAAAGCTGTCTGTGTGAGTAACTGAAAAGTGGGGTTTGTTTAATTAAGGATTAGGAAACTCAGTTTTTTGTTGGGGTTTCTCTCCCTCTGCTTCCTGAAAACTGGAAATTATCCTGACAAAAAACCAATCCTGAAACTAAAACAACTCCGAAAACTTCTCTGAAAGTTCTCCCATGAACAAGTGGGATAGACTGGGTCAGCTCTGTCATCAAAGCCTGCGTATCATCACACTGTAGCTTCAGGGTGAAGCCACACATGACGTGTTGAGCTCACTGTTGCCAGAGACAGAGCCTGCTCCAGCCTCCTCCACTCTTGCTGAGTGTACTTTCCATCAGTTCTATAATTTCTCACACTATCCAACTTAAAGGCTAGTCATTTTGATGCAAAGCTTTTTAAAAAAAATAAAAATCCTTTTTTAAGATATCAGTAGTTTTGTCTATTTGAACTTTTTAACATAAAAACAAATAAACAAGCACCCAACTCCCCCTTCCCCAAGTAAATGCCTTCCATCTGACTCTTATCTAAAAGTGGCAAATACAGGAGAACCAAAAGTTCTGGATCATACTGCAAATATTATGTTCCTCCATCCATCTCCTCCCTTCTTCCTCAAATATTGATTCTCCATATATCCAAATGTCCTTCTGTCTTTTGTTTGTGTTGTCATTTGTCCATTTCTCCATTAGCAGATAATCAGGCTTTTCTTCCCATTTCAAGTTCTCATTCCTGTCAATTCCTTTTCTGTCCTTATATGTGCCTTTCTGTCTCCCTTTTCTCATCTTCTCCTGGTTTGGTTTTTTGCCTCTTGGTCTCATCTTCCCATGGCTCATACCTCTTTTCCTCCTGTATATTCTCAATGCCAATGGCACTACTCCGTCGCCCATGGAAGCGGCTGGCTCGAGTACGTGATGGGCTCCTACCAGGCAAGGCAAAAGACTAGAAAAAAGAAAAGTGTGACAGAAAGGAGGGAGGGCAACAAGACAGCGAAAACTGTGGAGAACTGGAAGCATGGGAGAGGGAGTTTCCAGATCCTCTCCTTTACTCAGCAATACAATAGCACAGCCCAGCTCCATCCGTGCAAGAAGTACTTTCTGTCAGTGAGAAAAAGCAGCTAGGGCTTACAAAGGTGGTAGGAGAAAGTGACAGAGAGATATAGAAACAAAAGCAGAACAAGATACATAGCCAGCACACAAAGAAAGGCTCAGGAAGGGCCGCATCCCCATTCGATGAGAGAAGGAGAAGCAGAATCAGAAAGGCAGAGAAAACTGGAAGTTACAGGAGAGAAGGAGGCAGCGAACCCAAGTCATTACAATTCCATGACTTTGTTGTGCTGACATAAACAATGTGCACTGCTTAGTGAACTGTCACCAAGAAATTTCCACACTGAAAGGCACCTTCTTGGTTTCCTCAGAGATTTATTTTTTTTTATAGTTTGCCTGTATTGACATCACTAGTGCAGAGACCATAATCAGCTGGATGCACTTTGGCCGAGGTAACCATACTTCAATAAAACAGGGATCCTTTTCTGGAAATATTAGTCATTAATTTATTATGCTCACACTGATCACGTATGTTTAGTATTTCTGTCAAATAAGAAAGGCTTTGATAGTGACTAGAAATAGTCACTCTTTTTCTCACCCCAAAATTCTGCTCTTTGTCCCCAACATGCAAATTCTGTTTACAGCAAAACAGCACCTTGACTGAACATTGTGCACCTGTTTATATTACAGAAAAGAATCCGATGAGTGAAATTGAAGAAAACAGAACAGATCTAGTGTCCTTATGTTCTCAGCTCTTGCCATATGATAATACTACAGTACCATTCTGGTCAAACCACAGTGCATGCATTTTTTTAAGGTATGGCAACGTACAGGATCTAATCCAGGATAGCAGAGAAAGATGTCTGATGTGAATCATGTTTGGCTTTCTTCTCCCAGTCTACATCAATCTCAGTTCTAGTTTACAGATGAACTGGGGCTAGAGGTAGGCATAGACAAAACAGACTGCAGCACATGCTGTCACCACTTGTGAAATGGGATGATGCAACAAAAAGAGATTCACAGAAGGACAAGAAGACAAACTAATGGGGAAAGAGAAATAAAATGTATGGGTGGGTCACAAAGGTATGCCGGGTTTCTTGTTACAGCCCACCCGAATACCTTACCGCAGCAATGGCCTTAGGGCCCTCGGCGACACTCTGGCTGAGGGCAAGGCCAGCTGTAGTTGGGCGGCTGGGCAGGGTGGCCGGCTGCTGCTTTCTCATGGATATCCCCATGGTATCCAGGCTCTGGCTGCGGCCTCTGATCACCCGCTGAACAGAAGGGAGGCAGGGAAACAGACAAACACAGATACACATATAGACATGCACACGGTAGGGCACCATGAAAAGCATCACAGGTTGGGTGGAAAGTTGTGACAGACCAACACCAGAACCACAGAAATCCTAACTCCTAGGAGGCAGCATCTTAGATATTACCCATTTTTGGTCCTAGCTGATTCATGGAGTTCACTACCAGTGAATAACTCTTCTTCAAGTACGTTCTCTACTTTCGCCTTCCTTGTCCTGTTGCAATAAATAAGAGATTCTCTACCAGTATCCCAGCATACTGGATAAGCCAGCATCATCTGGAGCAGTCCTACCCAGTACAGACTACAAAACACGAAATCAAACTCCTGTTCAAGACTGTAACGTTCAGTCTTGCATGGACTTGAGTGGGGGTTCCAAGGGGAAAGCAGCCATGTTAAAATCTGCAGCATTTGAAAAAGCCATTTTCAGAGTTTACTCAACCCTTTCTAGCCTTTTACAAAGGTCATCTATGAATATGACATGCAAAGCACAGCATCAGCTAGAGGTCAGAAAAGGACATTTTGGGACAATTAGTGTAAGACATGGATGGGTATGAAATTCCTGGTTAGCAGCAAAAGCAAGGTAGACTGATTGTACACAAAAATACACCTCGCTAAACCATCCCAGCGCTGAACGAAGCTACACATACAGCCACCAAATGGATACATGAATGGATTAGTTTCACAGCCCTTAAGGACTCCAACCAGCCCACCATACGATGTAGGTGGACGTTATCTGAAGAAATGCTATTTATAATATGTCTCTGTGTCCAGACATACAACTTACTATACAAAAGAAGTGATGAGGCACTTCCCACAGAAGTGGGAAAGGGGAAGCAGAAAGGGATATCACGTTCTCTATATGTAATCAGTTCAAAACTCAGTTTTGGCTCTTCATACAAACACTTTGCTGTCTCATATCATCTCGATCACTTTTAAAAATAAGTTCTGTCATCTGATCTTGATTTACTAAAAAAAAAGTGTAATCTACACTGAACAAAGGTAAATTAACCCTACTTTTAGAGGTTAAGTGAAAAAACCCCCAGTTTTTCTAGACAGTACACTCACAGATACGTTAGAAACTCTCCTGCAGTGGCTTTTGCAGCTCTTTCAGTTATAATGAAAATTAATTAGAAGGGATCTGCTGCAGCAACTGAAAGCTGCTCGCTACTAGTTACTACAATGCCTCTTGCAAACACCTTTTTCTGTAAGCTATGGAATGAAACCCCATCTGACACTAGACACCAGCATGAAGCATAAAGGGTTGGACTTCTCAGGGACAGTATGAAATTCCACCTTGGACCACGCTGTAGCTCTGTAGAAAGGAGCGCAGAAAGGGGAAAAATGTCTTTTCTTGAGAGATATGGTAAAGCACAGTTGAAGATGCTCTGAAGAAAGAAAGGCTGCTGGATAAAAGACTTTTTTTTGTCTCACCCTAAACACAGCTGATCAGCAGCATCAATACTCCTTGGAGGGACACACACTGAGCTTGAGAAAAGTGTGAGCACCTGGGTAAGGAATCAATCCACTACAGCTCACCTTGAAATTCTCGAGGAAGCCCCCACTGCCATTCTCTATCTTGTCATCCTCCCCTATGGGCAATCCCATCATACTGCGGCTCCGAAGCTGCAGCTCCTCAAAAAGGCTCTCCAAGAGGGCACTCCGGGTTCTTTCCTGCATTAACATTGGGAATGAAAACTCAGCTATTACTGGGACTGGAGGGATTTTTTTTTTCCCCTTGTTTTTGCAATATCTCACATCTGCCTTACAAAAAAAATCACCTTAAAAATTAATTTAAACAGTATGAAGTGCTTTTAGCTGTACTGTTATGCAATATATTACAGTAATGCCCAGTCCTTTCAAACTCTTTCTAAAGCAAGTCATAAAGGACATAGATACATTTTTACAGGTGATGAGACAAGAGACATGGATTGAGAACAGTTTTTTCTAGATCAGGCAAGCAGTAGAGTCTGGAACAGAATTTTGGTACCTTGAACCAAAAACAGTGGTATCAGTATGCATCCTGTAACACAATACTGAGTTTCAGCTAATACAGAGTTTCCTTCAGCAAAATGCATGCATTATATTCCCATTCTTACTTGAAGATTAGATCTTTACATAAGAATGTACCTGTTCATATTCTATCACACCTGCTGTGAATACAAAGGAAGCATCACATAACTGAGTATCACCACATTTCAACTTCCTTTTACAAGCAACACACAATTAGAAGTAGAAGAAAATAAAAAATTATACTGTATCTTCTTGAGCTGGTAGTAATATAATTTTATAATTTTTAATGGAAGCAACCAGGTTATAGACCCACCTCCAATTTAGCAAATTTCTCAGCTCGATAGCAGCTGTACTCAGCATTGATGAGCTTGACCAGGAGGAATTCACGAAACTCTGCACTCTACAAGACAGGATGAAGAGTAGACTGGAGATGAAAACAGTAATTACAAAAATATCACATGAGAAAAGCTCTGCATTACTACTCTTTAGACATCCAAAGTCATCTAGCCAGACTGACAACACTGACTCAGAATACAAGGGTGAGTACCACACTCTCCTGCCATTTAACACTGGACCAGAGAAACAAACCTTTCTAAATATGGCTGGATTTGGCAGCGGGGGTCCAAAGAAGGGGACATCATCTCGGGCTGTGACTGAAACCTGAAACAATATAAGTATTAAAAAATAAGTAATATAACACAAGTGACACTACCAAAACCTTCAAACTATTATGGTACATCTGATCCCTCCTGAATCATTTACATACCCAAAAGAGATCTAGTATGCTGTCCCATATATCCCTCTGTTTCTCAAGTCCATGAATGAATGTGCTGATTTATTTCCCAAAAATTCAGTCAGCTAAATGTGTACACAGCAAGAGCAACAAAAACAATTGAACCAATTGCTTTTTTAATAAATATTTTTAATAATAACCAGTGTATTTAAAATTAAAAAGATGCTTCTATTCAGCCTGCAAGATTTACCTCCACTAGAAGAACCTTTGTCAAAATGTTTGTACTGACCTATTTTTATTGACAGAGAATCCTTAGTGGAGATACACTGCATACTCGGGGTGTATCTCAGTGACACTCCCTCTCTGAGTCACATGTGATAAGCGTACAAAAGCACTTGCCCAGTAAGAGATAAGGAAATCCATGTTTGTTTGTTTGTTTTTAACATGCTCCTACCTGACATACCAATGCCAAAAAAGTAACTGTAATGCAGCTGCAGACCAGTTTTTACATACTGTCACTTGGCTCTTCATAGCACTTAACTTATTATATGCAGCTATCTTACCAGATACATACAGCACTTAAGAATATTTCACAGTTATTCTTTTCCTCACGTTTGAAATGGAACAATACCGTAATCTGTCATTTCATACAACAGGGAACAATGTCAGAACAACTTAACAGCAACTGCCTCAAAGTAACACTTCAGTGTAAATGTCACAGAGCCAAGAGAAGTCTGAGTTTGACAAGAAGAAGAAGGAAAGGGGTCCTCGATTTAATTCAGATTTCTCACATTGTAGGCCAGCTCCTCTAATTTTAAGGCCTTCCTCTCCCTCCCAATAGATATCCACCAGTTAAAATCCTGCTTTGCACTTTTAATTTTCTGGCTGCAAAAAATGATTCAAAGAAATAAATGCCATTAATATTCCAAATTAACCACTTGGCACTAAAGTTTACGTAAATGGAATAATGGATGGAAGAAGAACAATCTTTCAAAACTGCAGTCTCTTAGGTACTAGAATGCTCTCAAGGCAGAGTGAGTTGAAACTTTAGGAAAGCCTTTACAGAGAACTCTGCACTGGCTCTAGGGTCCTGACTGGGACTATTACTTTTTCATGAAATGATACAGGCAACCCTATTACACTGACAAAAACAATGGCACTGCAGAGAGGCAAAGACAAAAACAACAGTAGGAAGAGAGAAGACAAATGGAAAGCTTTCCCAGTTCTTTCTTTTTCATTAAAAAAACCCAAAAAACTAGTGAATTTCTGTGCTCTACAAAACAGACAGTGAGAGAACTGGAGCCTCGTGCCCCTGATCAACATGAGGCTACTGTGTCACTACAGTCACTACAGACCTGGCTGCCCATAGCATAGGGAACAATGGAAGGTGGTGGTTCCTCCCCCAGCACCCTCCTTGGTGGGAACGGAGATGGAGATCCTGTCCTAACTTTGATATTCTTGGTGTTTTTGTAGACTTTCAAAGCATAAGGATTCAACATCACCAAATCAGAATTTGTACATAACATGAGACATAGCATTAAAATGATTAAAATGTTTCTAATAGTAAATCCATCACAGAATGCAAACTTCTATGTATTTTCTGCTCTCAGCGTGACTCAAAGTTAAAGTTATACAGACATCCACACAGAGTCTGTGACAGAGACATGTGACAGAGAAAGCTTTGTCCAAGGGCTGCAGATAGGGAATTTGTGTTCTTTTAGGGCTTCTTTTGACTGGAGGGCCCTAATAGGTAGCACTTCCCTGCCAGATGGCCATCAGTTCTGGGAACCCCCAAAGCAGATGTAGCTGTTTGGATTCCACAGATAAGGTCAACCAGCTGTATCTGACCTGCAGTCTTAGACAGTGCAAGCTCTCAGCACTGTGCTCTGCAGCATGAGCAATGCAGACACGTCTGTAAGTCAGGTGAATGAGTTTTACCCTACTTATGTAATTCAAGCAAGACATTCCCCAAAACTGCATCAATTGCTCCTCGTGCTCTTTGATATAAACAAATTTTTTTTATTTGTCCTGCTTCAATTCTCAAGCTTTAAGCTTCAGAAATTCATCAGCCACTTTGAAAAACATACAAGTACATTCTAGTTTCATGCATAGATACTTAACAAATTGACCAAATTATTCTTTAATCCCCTATTTGCTAAGTAGAGGCAGTAAGCAGTCCTGGACTCCTTTCAGTAAAATACTTGTGTTCCAGAATTTTAATCTTTAATTCTCAGCCTCACCTCCTAGCCCTGTCCAGCTTATCAATACCTTTATGAAATCCAAACACAGATTGCTAAACAGTAGCAATCACAACAAATCAAGAGGACCTCTGCAAACCACTATGAAGAAGAACATAACAGGAAGGAGACTCCTGGTCAGAGATTGAAGAGTGGGTGAAGGGAAAGAAGAGCTGGTGGCAGCTACTGGATTTCTAAGTTTACTGGTAACAGATGTAATTACCTTTCACTGAAAATGGTGATCAGGTTTACTAAAAGAGCAAGCAAAGCTGTTAGGACGACAGCTGGCTGAACCTGTACCTCTCCCAAAGGCCCGAGAACAGGTTTCCACTTCAAGGATCAATATCAGTAAACCAGCACAGAGGAATCTATTGGCTTTGTTTACCTTGTAGAGAGTGTCCCCAGCGGTGTCATGAGTGAGCTGAACTACCACATAAGCGTGTAGGAAATTAGAAGCAATCATATCAGGGACAAAAGGTGTGCTTTCATCCTGGAAGATGATGGCTACAATGTCGTTCCCAATGTGGCGCTTCCGCTGAAGCTGGAAGGGAAAAAATTAATAAAGCAAGAAGGCAGGTGAAAAAGAGTAGAGCCGTACGATAGGGCCTCAAATACCAGTTTGTCTAGCATCTCCAACCAAACCCCTCATCACTACTTTTACCATTACTCCAGCCATAATTCTCAACATTATGCAGTTAAGCACCCTCCCCTCTAATTAGTGCCTCCTCAAATACCCCTCCCCTCCTAGCCACACTGTTGAATTGCTTAGTTCTTCTTCCAGTACCTGCTGGGAATCTCCCTCTGTGAAGGGCAGCTTTGTAGACACATGAAACATGATCTCCTTGCCCCGGAAATTTGTATAGACCGACTCGGTGCCCGTTTGACCTCTAGTGACATCCAAGCCTCCCCGGAACCTAAGCAAATCCATAGGTCAGGCAGGACAGAGATGGGAAAGTGGGAGGAAGAAAGAAGATATCCATAACAGTGGCTTGGTACATCAACATTATAAAAGGTGGTTTCTAAGAAATCAGTGATAGTGGGACACCAAATCTTCCCAGACCAAATGCAGGGACTAAAGCTGCACAATGTTTCTGCTGATAAACCTGCTTGGTAAAAACTGTGAAGCTACCAGGGATCCTCAAAGGAGCTACTTTCTTTGGCACTCTTCTGAGAAACACAGTCCATATTTTAGAACTACAGAACAGAAAGGCTGCCCAACAGAAAGAGGCTAAAACAATACTCACCCCTACCATCATGAAACAAACTTACAATCACACAGTCAAATAAAATAATTCTTTGCTGACATTGAGGGTCAGATTGAGATACCAGGATACCTTTAAATGTAAACAGCAGCAAAGACCTAAGCTCCAACTGATTCCCAGATGGGATGGGTGACAAAAGCATTCTGGGCTTCTCCACCTGCACTGTGTTTCAGAGGATACAGCACTTTTCTGAAAGAAGGCCTCTGAAGAGTTGCAGCCTCTGAAAACACAGTGCTCTCTAACTCAATGTGGCTTTCCAACTGTGCTGGGTACGCACCCACGGAAATCCTGCAGCTGAATCCTGTCACCAAGGAAATCCAGGAACTCCAGGAAACCCAGACTCTCCTCTGTGTTACTGAAGACTTCTTCTTCAGTTGTCTTCAAAAGGAAAGGAGAAGTCATTAGGAGCACAAGCAGTACAAAGAACAGGTGGTAATTTCTATACACAGTTCAACCAGCTTCGAGGACCTGCACAAACAAGTCAACCAACATAAGGCTAACTTCTATCCTTTCTCTTTATGGCGTCTGTATTTTTCACAGCATTATACAGACCTTGCTATTACATTTAAGCTAAGAGAACTGACTCTTTGTGTTTTGCCCCAAGTATCATGGGATCTGAGGGAGCTTACCTGTCCAGGTTTCTGGTAAATGACCCCAAATTTGAAGTTATTGCTTATGACGTGTTCATCAAATGCAACAATAAGCTGCGATGCCTGAGGTAACGAAAATACAAATTACCAGATGGACATCATTAGCCAGACCTTGATAGAAAAGGGACATACAGACATAGCAGAACATTATACCTTGGGGTAGAGGACAGGAAAGAAGCGTTCGACATTCACATCCTCACACAGTAGCTGTCAAGTGAAAGAGAGAGAGGGAAACAGAGTTGTGATTATCATGTGCCCTAGCTTGCTGCAGGCATGAGAGCATAGACACTGTTTATAATTATCTGACAGGAGTCCCTTCAGGCAAAAATTCTGAGGTAAAATCAGAAGAGAAAGAAGAAAAACTAAATGAAAGTGTAAAAGTGAAGTATATGACAGTACTACTGGTGTGTAGTAGAAAACAGGGAAACAGGAGGACAGAGGTGAAAATAACTTGATGAGTGAGGCTGTAAGAGCAAATAGGCAAGCATCAATCTCACCTTTGCCATCTGGACAGCATTGGGAAACTCATTCAGACAGGAAATGGGGATCAGGTCATGTTTGGTGCCAGTTCGAGTCCTGACACAAAACAAAAAAGGCATTAGAGCAAAGGCTGAAGGGAGAAATAAGCAACACTGCCTCCTTAAAGAAAGAGTAGCCATTTCTTCAGATTATCCTTAGAGGAGTTAATTCCAGAGGATTAATTTTAAGCTTTGTGCATAAAATCACTGGAAAAGGGAGGTATTTACACTTCTTATTGCTCACACTTATTGTAGGGGGCAGAGGAAGACGAAATAGGGATGGTTATAGTCTTTTGTTTCTTTGCATTCTTTCTTTGCTTCAAGAAATATTTTGCTTTTCCCACTCCCACCATTTTCTTTCACAGAAATCTAAATGTTGAAGCACAATTCATGGACACAGTATTATAATGGATTCATAAGATCATATAGCGAGGGTTTGAAAAACTGTCAAAAGATCTGTTAGAGACAGCCTAGGAAAGCATATTTATGCAAAGTATAGGAGTTAGAAACTGGTGTAGCATTGTTCCAGAAAGCTGATGGATGAATTATTCCCTTCTCTCTATACATGTATACATATTAAAGGAGAGATGTCTCTCTAGAGAAGAAATACTGGGCTGTCAGAGCCCTCTTCAAATGATTATAAAGAAGCAACCGAGCAAAAGGTGCTGGATATAGTATCTTAATAGAGGAATTACTACCCTTTTGTTCTTCACCGGTGTCTCCCCTGTAGGAAGGTTTCTGGGCTCAGATTCCCTGGCACAGCTCACAAGTGGAGTGTCTCTTTCTCCCCCACGAGATTATTGCTCTGTCTGGCACTCTGAATGTTCTCCACATACAACGGAGGGAACTCACTGGTGATTCTCTTGTAGCTGACTCCTATGCAGTCAGTATTTTCCCTCAGTCCTGGGTGAGTCCCTGATACCAGCAACTGTACATCAGTTGGTTCCAGTAGCACAGAGCCTACTGGAAGTGTACCCAGCCCATAGTGTGGTAAAAAGCTTTTCTGCAGCGTGCCTCTCACCTACGCAAGATCCGTCTCTGACCTTCCTCTAGTTCATTCAGCAGTTTTCTCTGGGTAATGGCTCTCTGTGAAAGCCCTAAAAGTTATGACACTTAGTAGGCTCTCCTGGGAAGCTAAGGTAAGTCCTAGCTCACCTTGAGTTACTCTCAAGTACAAAGTCCAAAGACAGGCCTGGGCTAGGCTGTCCTCCACTGAGAAACCCATATTCTCCTAGAGAGTACTCACATGTATCTGAGTAAACAGAATAAACAGAAAAAAATTCTTTTTGAGAGAAGAACAAATGTTTTTCACACAGGAACTATAAAGGTGTGACTGCCAACACCACTTCAGCTTCCTGACGGAAACTGCTGGGAGAAACTCAGAGGGGAAGGCAAGGAAAAAAGGATCAAAGGTTTCTTTGCAGTCTTCTCCAGAAGAAAGACACAGGATTCACACCCATATCTATGCAGAGGAAGCTCAAGGTAAGATGATAGACACAGCACGGTAATATACACATCAACAAGAGGCTCTGTTACCTCAGCAACAGCCGTAGGTTTTCCTGTTTCTCAATCTGTTCATACTTCACAGAAAGTACCAGGTAGCCCAAGGACATGTCACTGGAGTAAAAGTTCTGGTGCTCCTGAAAAGAAGGAACCCAAAATGCATTATTCTCAGCATGCTTCTCAGAGAATTTTACCAGATTTTTTGCATACAACCTGTCACTCAAGATTAGCTAATCTTTTCTGTAACTAGCAATGGCATGCTTGAAGACATGCATATGGTGTCTCCCAGCCCCCTTGGTGATCAATGCATGAGCATATCAGTCAAAGTTCATTCACTGTCAGTTCAGTTCCTCCTCAGCTGTCCATCATCAGAAGAGCTCCTGAGAAGGAAAAGGATGAGAACAACGGATCTTGAGGAAATCGAGTTTCCTGTAAATAAACTGGTATCTTTCATGGACTTTCCCTGTATCCATTCAGACTCTGCATAACTAAGTAGTGGTCTCCAGCACATTCAACTGGACGTGGTCATGGGAACTTTTTATATAAATAGTAATACCAGGATCATTATACCAAATGGTTGATCTCTAAGAGCGCTCACATCTCAGATGCAGCCAGAGCTCCAGAGCTTCATACTTTTGCAGATGAAGACTGTTCTTAACAGTGCTGCTAACACCGCTTAAGATTTAGTGGAGAGTGCTTCAAATTGAGTCATTCAAACAATGAACAATAATGCAAATATTTTCACAGGTTCTATATAGAAGTGGCTGGCATTTCTCCTGGGTATACAGCCATGTTCCAATGGCCTGGGTACAGAAATATATATTGACACACATATATTTTTAATATAAAACATATATATTGATATATATATAGCCTCTAACCTCAAAAGGTTAAAACCTTTTGACAAGGGATGTGAATGGAAACCCCTAGCACAATGAGAATACTATATAGGTGGAATCATCCAGAAATTATTAGATCACTCCCATCTACCTAGGGGAAAACAACGTTATGGCCAGTTTTTGGAGCTGGCTGCTACATAAACTCTGACCAAACAAAGAGCTGAGACTGAACTCATGTTTTCAGCAAACAGTCCAAAATTATTGGGTTTGAGGTATAAGCAGGACAGAAAGACTAATGAGAACATCATGCAGGGGATCCAATTCTCTTTGGATTAGATTTGATTAGATTAGTATTATAATCACTTTCTGCTAATGAGAGCTTCTGTTGAAAGGGGCAGTAGTACATTCTAGTATTTAGTCTCCAACCCAGGAGAATATAGTGAGATTGGTATGGTACTTCTGCGATAGCAGTGATGGAAGTTGGGGCAAGACTCCCTCTTAGCAAAGCAAAATAATAATTAAAAAATAATAATAATAATAAGACTAAACAAAAAGAATCCTCAAACCAAAATTGTCTCAGCTACCCAATAATAGGCAGAATCATCAGTGCCTCCTTATGCCTTGGGACCACGAAAATCAGGAGAACGTCATATAGCAATCAGTTCACAGTGGAATCAGGAATGTGTCCACAGAGATCTTCAGTGCATAACAGTTTAAGCAACAGAAAAGTATCAAGGTTTTCTTTTGGTATCTTTCAAATCTAGGGATTTTCTAAATCCCAGATGATGTACCTCAAGATATCCAGCTGGATTTCCCACTTGTGGTTCTGTAGGAAAAAGAAACTCTGTCCACTCACTGAGATGTCAGACACTCTCAGGAGACAAAATGGACACACTTCAATGGGGAGCTTGATTTCCAAATTCCACTTGTCAACAGTTTCACAGAGAAGAGGTACCAACTGCTATCTTGTTTGTTGATATATTTTCTAATGATAGCCTTGCCCATCACCAACTTGAAAGATATAATCAAAGTACTCTTCATACATTTTAGAGTGTACAGATTCTGTTCTGATGTACAGCAGTGGTTCTATACAGTTTGGTTGTCAAAATTACCTCCACAGACTAAATGCAAAGTGTTTCTCATGGTCAAATTAAATGGAGGAGAAAGATAAAACATCATATCCCTGCAAACAATGAATGAGCTGTTCTACCACCGGAATAGCAGCCATCTCAACCCAAAGACAGTGTCATTTGCAACCTGAGAAGACAGGCAGGGAGCACGAAGTCAGTAAGCAGGATTGCAAGACTCGGAGGGATCACCACTGGAAGCACCATACAAATGCATCCTTGTGCATGACACAAAAGTGTTATGCACTGGCACAGTAAGTTAAGTGTCCAGTTGTACAGCCAGGATTTGCACAATGTGGAGTGTGTCCTGTGAAAGGAATACTTGGGACACAGTTACTTAATAGGAAAGACACAATGGGCACAAAGCGTGTAATATGATCAAAAAGGGTTGCTAGGTCCAAGAGTCCCTTCCTCAGCCTTTTGCCTAGAAAATACAGAAAGTCTGTTCTGTCTCTGGCAGACTGCAACCTCTCTCAACACACTGGTGAGATTGCCTTTTTCTGTGGAAAAAAATCTAAACAATTTTTTGTATTAGTCATAGTTCTGACTCACTGGGCAATAACGATACATCTGGTGTAATAGTCTGATATCTGTGTGGACGTAAGCGTCTTGCTGTCAACAGACATAAACCAATCCCCTCTGTAGAAAAAAAAAAGGAATTACTAAGACTGCAGTCACTACCCTGAATCTGGATATGAAGATGAGGCTATTGAACTTTACGTATTAGATATCATCACTTCCTCTTTAAGACAGGAAAAAAAGCCAACACCCAGAACTTCCCTGCTACTGACTTACGGCGAAAACGTTTCACGGCTTCTGGTGCCAGCATAGTCTACCTTCTGTTGAAGCAGATCGAATGAGTAGGTCCTGAAAAGGTAACGAATAAGTAAAGAGCAGCAAACAGAATAATGCGGCCTCTAGCTGCAGTGTTCAAATCACAGAATGCCAGTGCGATCCGTCACACAAGTCTATGGTAGTTACCATATGTGGAAAGAAAAGCTGAAATCAAAGGAAGCCACAAAGGCTGAGAGGACAGTTTCTTTCTCCTGACCACGACCTGCAGGATACTAATAGAATTTTGGGATGTGAACAAGAATCAAGTGCAGTAGTCATAGTCACCAAAGGCAGAAAGACAGAGCAGCTGAGGAACACACAGATACAAGGAGCAAAACAAGAGCATGCTCAGTCAAAGGAGTCAAAAAAACAGAGAAGTCATATGCCTGGGTGGATGCCCAAGACAGGCTGTTAAGGAAAATGATGGCACAAGGCCAACAAAAGTCAGGACTAGAAGGTAGAACAAAGGAATAGGAGCCAAAGCCCGAGGTTAGCTGCAGCCAAAAGTAACAGTGAGCTGCAAAGACCAGAAAACAGGATGCCTTTTGATGAGACATCTAAGCCAGACACCAGCAGGTCTGACACACTGGGATCTCAGCTGCTTTGGAGACTGGGCTATCAGCTCTGCAGCTGGCATAACCCAGCAGAGTTGCCCAAAGGGGTGCAATCTTCACAGGGGAACAGGCAACAGAATTAGTGGAGGTCTTAGAATAATTTATTTTTTGTCAAAGCTACTCTGGCTGCCTAGCTTGATCCTGAATGTAAGCCTCTGTTTTAAACTGAGATCTCAGTAATCATATGTATGAACAAAACTATAATTTCCTTGTTATGACTTTTATTTTTCCCTCGGTGATTTTCTTTCTCTGCAAAAACACATGAGCACCAGAAGGCAGGCTCTGAGCCCTTCAGTGTAAAACACCATTTATCGCTAGCTGTCCTGAAGTTACAGATGAACCTAAGGCTTTGTGGTTAATACTGAAGATTGCAACTCAGCAGTGACAAGATATCCTGGACCTGAGATGACCTTTGTATAGGTACAAATTTGTTCAGCCATAGAAGCAGTTTCTGTAACACTTAAGGCAGTCTAAAAGGAAGTTCTGGATTTCAAACAGATGTCTGTAAAAGCAATCTTCCATGGGGCCAAGGGAAAAGGCTAACAGAATACACAAGGAGAGCTGACAGTTTGCCTGAGAAGTTATGAAGCTATTAAGACATCTGCTATGTTCTTAGCCACTTGTGTTCTTTTTGATGAAACAGAATTATTTTTCACTACTCAGTAGCAGCAATTGCACCAAAGATAAACAAACCAGACAAAAGTAAAAGACGTCTTCCCCATGGGACCTAGTACATTTCATCAGTTCTTTTAGCAATAGGAGCATAGGAAGCCAGAGAACACTAAAAGATCTTTACAGGATTCAAAATGCATTCGCCAGCCCATTCTTTTCCTTCAAGACAAATGAAAATAAAAGGAACAATTAACTTTGAAAAAACTTGGCAACCTCTGGTCATACTGGGATTATTTCATCCCTGAAGAAGGAAGAAAAACACCCTTGGTGGCCAAATGATTATATGACGACCTACAGGAAGATAATGATACCAGAATATCTAAACCTGTCAGTGGTGATAACTAATAAACTTGCAGTACTGAGTAGGCAGCATTGTTATTCCAGCAAGACGCCTTTTTTTGTAAGCGTGAGGTGGTGGTTGCCAGTCGGATGACAACAAGGACCTAGAAGCTACTGCCACTGTTGGCAGAACACAGAACCACTAAGGCTGGGCTGGTACTGAACCTGATACAACCTGGTATGGTGGTCTCCTTGCAGGCCCTCCCTGCATCTCTGCTTTGAGAAAACGAGGGGAAAAAAAAAAAAAAGAAAAAAAATTATTGGGCTGACAGCAGCTTCTCATGACAGGGAAACAGTAACAAGCTCCAAAACACACATATTTGCATACCAGGGGAAAATGATCCTGAATATGAGAAGACCTGCAGCCTCAGCAAGTCAGAGAACACATTTACTAAAATCATAGTACTTGTAGTAATGAAACAATATTAGAGACTTTAAACTAACAAAAGAGATCATTACAATTCTACAAAATATTTAAAATGTCCTTTGACTGCTCCAAGTAGTTTCCACCTCCTTGTCCTAGGTTAAGCTAGAATTTCACACTAAGAACATAAGACCTAGCTCTTTCTGCTGAGAGAGAGGACTCCACTGAGTCAGTTTCCCAACAGTTCAGAGCACTGCAGCAACACCACTTTAACCAGCACAAAGAAATGACAGCATGATGGAGAAATAAATACATGACCACATACGAATGTATGGCAAGAAAGCTTCTCTCATCAGCACTGCCAGCTTCAAGTGCTTGTGAAACTGCGCCCTAAGGTTCCTTGAGTGGCATTTCCAGTGTATACCAAACCATTCTATGATTCTATGATTAAATCCTTCCTAGCCTCAGGCTACTTCTCTTTATTATAGTCCTGAAAAACAATGTAGACATTTAATAATTCCCAGTTTTGTGTAATCATCATATAAAATACAGACCATGAAACAAAGAAAAGGAACTGAGCTATGGCTTATATACTTTTTTTGGTCATTGTTTTATAGGATCTGCTATAAGGTGTTCTACAAAAAGTGTCAAAATTGTCTGAGTTTGAGTGACCCAGTATATGGACACGCACAACACAGACATGCGTATTAAATTTGTAATACCACACATACTCTAATCTCCCATCTTGTTTAAAGGATATTCCCTAAACCACTGGCGATGCCTCTCCCATCACATTATGTTAATGGACTCTTCTTCTGCTAAGAGTTGTTTGCAGTTATTCAAAGCATGCAAGAGACCTTTCTTTACCTTTCTGAAATAACTTTCCCATGCTATCAGCAAGTAAAAGACCCAATCCACACAGCATCAAAATCACTGGTCTCTCTTAACTTAGAACTGAAGAAATGCTCTCCCTGTGGAAAAGCTCTGAGCTCTCTCCTTACCTAAGCCTTTAAGCCATGGGTAAGGGCAAGGGCAAAGTTTTCTACCCACAGGTAGAATTTTCTGTGAGAAGAGTACTGTTCACCTCATTCTTTCTGACACTGGCTTGCTCAAATTCTTGCATGTTTAATGAAACATAGACACACATTCATGTTAATTAAGACAAAGAATAAAACACTGGACACTGTAGAAGAGAAAGAATATAGACAAGAGGAGTTTTTCTGTAGTACCGAAGCACTGATGGTTGGACACTTTGCAAATGTATAGAGTCCAATAGTATGGGAATTCCTGGATTTCACTTGGAAGGAACAATGATGTCTGAGCAAGGGTATGGACATGGTGAGCTCCAGAAGTCCCTTCTAACCTCAACCGTTCTGTGATTCTGTGATATCAGGTCAGCAGTACACCCTAGAATGGGACTGAAAAAACCATACCCCAATTTGCCTCTCATCCTAGCTGGCTCTGGAAATCATCAAGGCTGGGGGGTAGAGAAGGCTCTGAAGATCACCCTTACCTTCCCCAGAAAATGTTTGCGGTACAGCTTTGCCGTAGGGTCACTCTCCAGTTTCACTTTTCCACTCCAGGGAAAGGGTACATCAGACTCAGTTGGACTCAAGCTGGAGAGGTTGTGGCTGGTCCCTTCAATCCAGTAGCCCCCAAACTGGGGTAAGATAATGAGAGGATATGGCCACCCTTTCTGTAATACCTATTCAGAAGGACACAGAACATCAAAGTTGAAAGGCAAATATGCTGAAAGGCAAACAAACTGAAAGGCCAATAAAGCCCAAAGAAAAACAGAGGAGAGCAGTACCAACTCACCTCATGGATGCTGGGGTAAGGAATATACTCCTCTTCTGTCTGAAATCATAAGAGACCATTAGCAAAAATGCGTGACATCATATAAAGTGTTATGCTCTCACAATGGCACAAGCTGTGCCCTCAGCTTCCACTCTGCCCTAGTCCATTTGTAGAGTTTTACTTCAGGATTTAAGGTTAGATTTCATTTCCTAGGTCTCAGCATTATAATATAAAACTTTGAGAACAATAAATTTAGCAATCAGATTTCGCTCACTATAGTCCTTGAAACTACACAGAATACAGGCATGCAAAGTGAGGAGGCAGTCAAACTACAGAAAAATTGGATGAGGTTAGGAGTCAGTCTCTTTCTCCTTTCCTTCCACACAGTGTTAGACAGCTGCAGACAGAGATGATGGTAGGGATGGTAGAAATAGTACTGTATTTACAGCGAGATCAAGGCTGTGTCATCACTAGACCTGTGGTATACAACTAAGCAGTGCTGAGGCATGACTGCAAGAACAGGGGGCATATCTGAGCCACTTTATGCCAGTTGGATGCCCCTTCCATCACCCCAAAGCGCACTGACCATCTCTCTCAGAATTCAGCTATATCAGTTCTCTATGTGGCTTTTTTTTTTAAAGTCATTCTAAAATTGAATTCAAGGTCAAGGTAGATTTTAAGGTTACTTTGCCTGAGCTAAGACTGAAAGAATGGAGAGCAAGAATTGAGAATTTAAAGACAGGAATCTGTTCTTATTGGCCCAATATTGAGGGAAACAGACCAGCTTTCTAGCAGCATCTATGAGTCCTCAAGCAGACTACTGAAAAAAAAAGCTATGCAGTTTCATAAATATTATTATACCTCTTAAACTGAATAAAATTTAAGAAATTATTTAGTTAAAACTAAGATTGTTCATAATAATAGTAAATGCTTATTGGAACCACTTAAATTTTGAGAAAGGGAAGTATTGATTCTGTTTCAGCTACATAGTTTTACAGCCACTTTTTAAATAAATAAATAAGACAAGCATATGTGTATTCTCGGGCTGTTTGTAGGGTCCAAATTCACTCCAAGATAAAAATAGACTGCAAGCCAGGTCAGTTATCATCTGCCATTCTCAGCAACTTAGGAGGCAACAATGACTTGGCCTGACCTTGAGAGGAGCTGGAAGGGAACATCTTTGTTCATCCAGACGACTGCCCTGGAAACAGAAAGTCACAGACAGTGAATCCTGTGTTTTAGTGTGTCTGCTTCACTTACCCTCCGTGTCCTTCTCCATATCCCCAGCATGCATATTTTCTCTCTCTCTGTAATCTTCTATTTTATGCAGGTTTGGATGTTTGGAATAAACAGGAGAAGTAAAGCCAGAACTTGGCTAGTCCTCTAGTTTGGCATTAAAACTGAAACGTCTTGCCACCTAACATCTATTAAAAAGCAGAAAGCTGGCAGAAATCAAAAGCAATATCCCAAACTTATTTTCTTATTTGATTCTCTAATCTTTTCTAGCTACTTTAATTCCTATCCCAAGCAATTGAAAAAAGGGGAAGAGGTAATGACACAATGTGAAAGAAGAGCATTTCAGACCATTTATTCCTGTTCTGCTCTTCCCCCTCCCTTGAAGACGCTGTCAGGCAGAGCACTGAGAACCTCAGAGTAGGGTTAAGAGAAGTAACAAACACTTGTTTTGAGGATTAGGGCTAGGCAATAAGTCTTTTAAGCAGCTTATGTGCCCTGTTTCCATCCACAGAAGGGAACAAATGTGTCTCCTGGAGGTAAGATAGAAAATCAGAGCTGCTCTCCATCCATACATCTGATCAGTGCAGCAGACTCCTGCAGGCAGCAAGGAGTCAACACAGCAAAGCCCTGCACATCAGCTTTCCTAGGCACCATCACTGTGAGGTGGGTTGGAATAGCAGGGCAAAAGACTACAGGATGCCCAGTTTCTTCCTGAAACGGCAGCTGGCATTGAGACTTGAATCCCTTTCTTAAGGCTCTTCCATCCCCTGCCTTCTCACCATGGCAGGAGAAGCAGAAGCACACAGGAATCAGAACATTTTAGCGAGGACAGCCCCAACACAGACCAAGCAGAGGCCGTGAACGAAAGGCTAAAAAGCTATGAGGCCAACAGACTCCCATAAAATGCTGCCCATAGTCCAAGTGGGCATCAGTACAGACAGAAGAGTAAAAGGCAAAATTTGCATTGCCAGATAGGAAGCTGAAAACCAGGATTTGTGTACTGTGTGTAAGAGAAAGCTCCAAATATTCAACTACTGCCACCTAAATCTTGTAACTCTCATATCAGAACAGGATGCTGAGACGACATTTTTATACGCCATCAGCGACTGCTTAATGGAGTGGCAAATCAGGGAGTCCAGACATAATAAGCAGCTCTCGACTTTGTTCTGAAAATAACCAGGATTTGATTTACAACAGCTATGTCGATGCAAGCCTTCTACAGTGGAACTCGGTTATAAACTAGTATCTGGTAGAAATACAGACATCTGAGTGGAGCTCTACAGTAGAGATGCAAGAGGCTAAAGAGTAAGAGTTTGGCCCCAATGCTCCAGCCACACAGGGTGAAAAAACTGCTAGTATAGCAACAACACTAACATTGGGCAGTAGCAACATTAGATCAAGGGGGAATAATGATCAGGTTGCACACAAGAAAAAAAAAAAGACAAAAAAAGAGACATCCATTACGCATAAAAACAAGGTTATAGAAAAATGAGAAAGCCTATTAAAAGTACGTAAAAATGAGCCATAAATAAAGCTAAACTTTCATCAAATTATGAGAAGTCAAACTACAGGGTAAGGGAGACTAATAGTAGACACATGAGGGCATTCTTCATAAGTCTGAAGTTCAGTTCAAACACAAAAAATAACAATAGCAACAAATTTTAGTCAGTTAAATATAGAAACACAGTAAAGCAAGCGAGGAATAATCTGCATATAACATAATAACAGCAAAAAGAAAATATTTCCTTAACCACATTAGGAGAAAGAAGCTTGCTAAAAATGTCTGCAGGGTGACACAGGATGAAACTACAAAAGCTGAGCTTAGAGTGTGTTACCCAAAAAAACTAAAAAAATGGTTTTTTCAATTTTACTTTCAACAGAGGACCCTGAACAAATACCACCTTGGAACTATTCTTCATAGGGAAACACCAGATTATAGGTTTCAAATTGCAATGTCAGTAGGCAACACTGACAAAATGAACAACAAGTTACTAGGATGTGGTAGGTTGTGGAATTAAGATGAAACAGAGACTGACAAGTGATCTCTACCTTTTGCAGAGGTAGTAGTAACCATTTTGCATTTGTGGAAGCCATAAAGCTGAGAAAGTGGAGTGCATGAAATGTAAGTGCAAATGGATGTTTTGCTGATGTGATCTGGAGTTTCACTTGTCAACCTATTGCACTGGGGCTCATGAGGAGGGCTAGCTTCTGGAACAGGGGTCTCAGGAACAGTTCTTTGGGGCACGGAAGTCCTATGCTCTACCAAAATAGGACTGAGACAGAAGAGACACACAGGTAACAAAGCAGCTCTGGTCTTCTGGAACACACTGTGGAAAGTACCCAGACAAACTCGCTATGCTCAAGGGGATTTCTGCACACGGAAATGAAGGTTGGGAAACTGCAATTTTGTAAGATCTCTCTCCCCTTCCTTGGCATTTCTGGCAGATCTGATAAGTGCAAAATTTCTCCAGTTTCAAAGGAGGCCCTGGTAAAAGACCTGTATCTCAGAGAGGCCTGAGGGAAAGCTTCCTGGGCTGCTGTAAGGGAGCTGCTCTTTGTATGGAGCCTCTACAGAGAGCAGGGGAATGCGCCATCACATTCCATGACTGCACTGTTAAAGGAGCTCCTGGTAGCCTGGGAGCAGAAGGCATACACCTAAATCTACCAACCTCTCCTCTAGAGTGAAGCTTAAGATACTGGCAAAGATCTAATGCAGTCTTGGGCCATACAGTCCAAAGCTCTATTTCAGAGGGTATGTGCAGGGAACTTGCAGCATAAGTTGGTGAACTGTCAAAGCATAGGCAGAACAGCTGTTGATGGTTGATGATCACTGTCATTCCTCAAAAGGAAGAGGCATAAACTATAGCAGTCTCAGCCACCTGTTGAGACCAAACCTTCTGGTTTGGTTCACTTTGGCTTGCAGCACTGCCTTTAAGGAAAAACTTTCCCTCACTGTTTTCCTGGGTAATTGTCATGGTTTAGGCAGATGTAGTATCACCCCATGACTCTCCTCACCTGAGGAGGGGAATTGGAAAAAGGAAAGGAGACTCATGGGTTGAAATAGCAACAGATTTAATGAAACAATAAAAATACTAATCAGTACTAACAGCAATATCAAGTACACAAAGTCATACACTGCTGATACAGTGGTTGCAACAAGCTGGGGAGTAGGCCCTGGCAGCAGAACGACAGGGAAGACCCTCCAGGGGATCAGACCATTGAGGAAAGAGAGCCATCCCCATCAAACTCCTCAATTTATAGTAAATGTGACATTTATGGAACAGCTCTGTTGGCCAGCTTGGGTCCACTCCCCTGGCTTTGCCTGCCCTCAGCTTCTGCACCTGCTAACTCAAAACTGCTAAAGACCTTGATCACTGCATACCACTGTCGGCCAAAACTAAAACAAAATGTCTTATCAACTTTGTTTCCAATAAATGGAGTACTGTAGTCTTTGCAGAAATGCAGCTTGCCTGAATAGAAAACTGTTTCCATTACTCTATCCTAGCAAAATCAGCAGAGTAACTTATTGGAGACAGCATCGGTCTGGGAATCTGATATTCTCAGGGTCTTGTACAGGGGAAATACATGGCCTGAGCAACATGAAATAATGGACGACAGAGAAAAAAGTCATCAAGACCCACAGTTCAGTCCAACATCGTTGGACTTGATGATCTCAGAGGTCTCTTCCAACCTTAATGATTCTGTGATTCTATGGCGTAACAATGCTATGGTAACACATGTTAGAGCAGTGTCTTGAGGGGACTAGTTCAAAACAGACAACTTAGATCTAAAAGGGGACATAGGAGAAAAACGTTAAGGTACTTGTGAGAAAATAAGACTGAAGGATACGTGGAAACTGTACATATGCAGAATAGAAGTAGTGAACATCACACCATAAAAGACAAAAGCAGGTAAGTGAAGAGAGGTTGGTTATGAAAGTATGTGAATACCTCAAACATCTGGGTTCATTAGCTGAAAAAAGATTTACTTGCTTTTCAGCTGCTTGCACTGCAGAGCGATCTAGGAACAACATATTCCTAATTGTCCTTAACAAAGTTTTTACTGTGACTTCACTACCTCTCAATGCAAAGCACAATTCTCCTACTGCAAGTCAGATGACAAAATAAACTGAATTAAAAAACAAACAAACAAAAACCCCACAAAGACAAAAACCAAACAGCACTACTATAAAGCCTTAACAGTGAGCAGCTAGGAAACCAATATACATGCTAAATTAGGTGGTCTGCATATGTTGGAAATTCTCATCAGCTCCCTCTGTTATCTCTCTAGCTAAAGAGGTCCAAATCCAGTGAAAAACAGTCTTCATATGGTAAACTGGGAGCTGAGAAACACAGAGCATTTTAAGCAGCACAGTCTTCCAGTAAGGGACATCTGCTGGTGATACTGCCTAATACAGATTTTAAAAGACCTGGAAAGGATCATCATACCTTTTAACATATGCTTGAACTGAACAAGAAGCTCTGCACACTAAAGCTTACTTTCTAACACAGAGTTAAATGAGCCAGGCACTTATACAGCTTGTTATTCTAAAACACTGAGCATATATCCCAAACATAGTTTGGGTGTCAGTACAGTGGTTGCAAGGTCCGTGACTGTCTACACATAAATATATAATCTATGTATCTATATATATAGATATAGATAGATAAGACATATATATAAGCTCCTCCTTCCCCCACTTCTCCTTTCTAGTCTGCCGAATAGTACTTCAGCATTATAACTCTGTACTTAGCATTTTGCTGCTACCTTTCATCTCCTCACCTTTATAGTCCCACCAAAGTCTTGCATTTTCCTTATATCCATAATTTGATCACCCAAATTCCAAAAAAGTTAATAATTTCTTACAAGTTTAATTCCTGCACGTAATAAAAGGCAAGCGTTATGTGCCATGTTTTGTGTTACGTCAGGTGAAAGTTAACCACAGCATTTTAAAGAAGGTATACCACTCAGAAAATATTCATAGTCGGTAAAGATGCTCTAAGAACAGATCATCTGAAAAAAATAATTTTAAAGATTTTGTTGTTAGATATGTAACATATACAACATATAAACTATCTCTCTATTTGGTAGGGCAGGGTTGGTTTTTCCTCTTTTACTCTATTTGAATTTTATAATGTAATATATGCAACTAGATGCACATATTTCCGTAAGAGGATTAAGCCAGAGTCCTTCTTTCTTTCTTGTGGAAGTTAAAGACAGGGCCTACAGTAGTTATTTATTAAACTGTTTGACCTTGCTAAATGCAGTTATGTTAACATCCCATTAATCACCTGTCATTAGCAGCTGCTACCCAGTAGAAACCTAGTTTCCTGAAGAAGATGCCAGAGATACCTTAATGCAACTTTGATTCTATCTCAGAACCACAGTTCTGCAAAGAACAGACTGAATTATAATAATTTGTGTCTATTCCTTCCATCACATTGGTTGGAAAAATGAACACAGGAAAATGCTTTTGAAACTGCATTTAAGAGTAGGTATAGGACTTTGGGCCTAAAAGAGCTAAATATTCTGCAAGCCCAAATTAAAGGGTATTGGGAGTGAAGTGATAAGACAAATTATGATAATGATTATATGATTATAATCAGCCAAGCTGATTATTTGCTTGGCTATGAAAAACTAAGACATCCCAAAGTTTGACAGAATAATTCCTCCTTACCTGCATTTTTTCAATCATCTCAAACAAGTCCACAGTCTGTGAAAAGACAACAGGGAAAAGAATTTAACATTTGCAGAAGACAACGTTATCTTCTGTGGTAACTCAGATATTGAAGGAGCCCTTCCATGTTTTGGTATAAAAACTACTTGGTTGCTAAATACAAGATGGAATTGGTCTTCCCTAACTGATAGCATGGACAATACAACTGGCCAAATTGTCTACAGCTTGTGTTGCAAAAGCTTGACCTGGAACCTGATCGGATTCTTATCAGGAATTTCTGTCTTTCAGTGGGTCAGACTACTGACTTGATAGAGTTTAAAATAAGAAATTATTAAATGAACAAGTGTAGGCACTATAGGGGCAACTATAGCCGTGACGCATGCAGGCATACGAGCTTGCTTTCAGTGATTTCTTCTGCTCAGTGATTCAAGGCACATTCCAACCCCGAGCCAGAGGAACATGGACTGCCTTTACCTTGTTGGGCACAGCAGGAGCGAGAGCACATGGAAAGCCTTGGGTGGGAGAGTCTATAACATCACTGAAGCAGCGCACCCCCTCCTCAGCCCTCCTGCAAGAGACAGAGGTAGAGGGAGGTGGGAGGGGAAAGGAGAAAGAAAATCTTTTAACTCTTGGAGAACTCAAGGCGTCAGTGCTTGCCTGCAGTGCCTCCTTTGCCTTCTGCTGCCTTTTGCTTACTCTTCCTCTCCCCAGCCCATTTCTTGCCTATGAGGAAGCTGTCAGTCCCTGTGAGACTCCCTGAGCGGTCTTAACTTACCACTTGCCACCTGCAAACACCCTGGATATAACAGCAAAAATCTCTCCTGACTGCTCTGTCTCTGTCACACACACTGCTTTCATCACAACTGTCCTGTAAGTGCTGAATGCTCTTGCTTGCCAAGTTCCTCCTCTATCACAGATCTGCAGCAGAATAAAACAGGTCTCACAGGAAGATTTGGGATCACATCTCAAAACTGAACCATATTAAAAGAGCTGAAAGATCTGAAATATCGGCACCTAAAGGACAGTCCCAGTTGCCACAGCCTGGGTATTACTCTCCGAGACATGAACATAACAGAGATGGTGCCAGAACAGAACTGATACCCTGAGAGAAATGTGGGTACAGTTCTGTGTTACCACTGCTGGTAAAGCCAATGTGCACATTAGATGAGCTTTTGTCTGCACATCTTTTATTAAAACATACATTATTATTTTGGCCCCTGCTGGAACAGCAGCATATACAAATAGCAAGAGTGCTTATTTGATTTCATAGAAAACAAAAAATAACACAAACAATACACTGTAGCTTAAAAGACGTATCTTGCACTGCCCGTTGCGCTATGGACGGTCTCACTGCTCGCTGCAGCTCTCCTGCTGTTGGCCAATAAACTTTTCATGCCATTCACAGGTTTTACTAGCAGTCACAACTGGGGTTTAAGCCATGGTGCAGGTCACGTAGGTAGGGCTGGGAACAAAGCCCAAGTTTCTAACACCAGAGACAAGACTCATCCACTTTGTAGTGCAAACATGAATATGTTTGTTACCTGATCATATAATGCAACCATGAATTGCTATCCTCTAGCTGTTAGATGCACGACTCCTGCTGCTTCCATACTCAGAGATCGGTATCTGTAAGTCACACAGACTCTTGCTTTGAACCCAGTGGCTCCATTCCCCGTTGTATGGAAGTACAACATATTCCTATAATCATGAAGCTACACTCCATCACAAGCTCCAAGAATCTCTACAGCCAGCAATTCTCTAACAATTCACAATTTATTTTAGTAGCCCAATGGCATCGTGTAACTTGCATATAGGCTGATCTACACAAAGTAACACAGTGCTTCCATCCCACAATTTTCTTCTAAAATTCCAATCAGAGAGGTTTGTGTAATGCATCTAAAGATTAAATCCATAATGTATGTGGGAAGGAAGATGTAGGAGTTAATCTTGACATCCTCAAATAAATATTGGAATAGTTAGATGGCAAATGTATTTTAAATTAATATTAATATTATACCAACACACGGTTTATTTATCATCTTATTCGTTCACTTGAAGCATATTTGGGATTAACAAATTTTATGTCCAAGGCAGTACATAAAAGATTTTCATTGTTTCTTTTAGAAATCTGAAGGTTTTGTTCTGTGAGCCCTCAAAAGGCAAAAGATTAACTTGATAAATTCCCATTTTCAGAAATTAGCCACCTCCAAAGAAGTGTGATAGTAGAACTTTCATGCAACTGGATGCCCTGGGGCCTTGTTGCATGCTATGGTGGTTTTCTTTGGTATGTCACTGGTTTGAATCCTGATTCATTCAGCAGAGAGTAAAATACACACCTACATTATGAAAATCTAGCACCAGGTCAGTGTGGCCAGTCCTGTCCTTGTTTTCTTACCATAAATTCATCTCTACACTTTGGACTGACCGAGCCCTTCATGCAGCAACTGTTCCTTACTGTTCAATCCTGGCACAGTTCTACTGTCAACTTGCTGCAGCAAGTGCCAGAATCACCAGTCTTACCATACATTTAGAGATGTTTTCAATTCTGCAATTATTGCAGCTCAGGAATGTGCCAAGAGACTTTAAAAATCCAGGAAAATAACTTAAGATTTTATGCTACCTTTTACAAGATATCACAAAAACTTGGGGCCACTGTAACTCTTGCCTGAAAGTCCATTTGTGAAATTTGAACTTCTGGGATGAAAAGCACTACGCTCTATTTATAGAAAGAGAACATACTCCTTTTCAAACTGGAACTTCCAACTCTGAAGGCAGAAAAGCAGAGTATCATCCTTCTGAAAATGAAAAGCAATTCTGCAGACTTGATAGTGTGTGCAAATGTATACTTGATGCAGCTTTTTTTTTTTAGGAAATGGCAACAAGGGGAAGCAGAAAGTTTGGAAATTGCTGAAGATTAAACTAGGATTTTAACAGTGACAGTAACCAGTGCATTAATTTCAAGCAAGCAGCCAAACTAAAAGTAGGCACTGCTGATCCACCACTGAAGACTCCACTCTCAACTCTGAAATGGTGTGAGAAGCACCTTTGCAGACCTTAAAGCCACTACCTCCACACACACACACCTCTGCTCACACCCTATATTCATGTCTTGCAGCATCCTCTGCTATTTCAGCCCTAGGAGCTCTCTGTACAGCCCTCTCAAAGTCGTTCCCATCTGCTATAGCTGAGCCAATTCAATAACCAAGTCAATGCAAATATTTGTTCCAAGAAAAAACACAAATTGACCTGGACAGATTTCATACCTCCTTTCATTCATCTTTCTTAAGTATTACAGAGGTAAAGGGGATTTGCTGCACTCTGAAGAGATAATTTTTTTTTCCTGAAAGTTCACAGGGAAACAAGTGTTTAGCTACTATAAAAACCTTTGCTAATCTGGAAGGTTTCCAATAGGAAAAACAATATGGCACGATTTGCAGCTAATTGTGGAGTGACAGCCAGTATAGTAACTGGCATCCCAGCCTAATGAGTGGTTCTTGCAATGAGATGCTGATGTTTTTGAAATCACTCACTAGAAGGAACAGGCAATTCAGAAGAACTGAAGGTAATGTGAAACAAGGAGATCAGGCCTGAAATGCTCATAAGGAAAATTCTGGGCAACCACTTCCCTTGAGCAACAGCTGCTGCTCTTTCACTCCCTTGTTTCTCCCTTAGAAAGACATATTTGCTCTGCCAAATAAGATGTTTAGGTATTCAGCAAAGACAGCAGAAAACATGACTCAAACAGCCTTACTCTACTGTAGACACCAATACGCACAGAAACTATGGCTTAGCATTTTGTTCACACACAGATTCCTAAAATTCAAGGAAAGTCACTACCCAGACAGAACTAGGAAAAGGATGCAACTACTACAGAGGCGCAGTTTGCTCTCAGCTGGTCACAAACTTTTCAGCCCATAGACTCTGACTTCCAGTCGGGAACCTCTCTCCCAGCTGCACTCCCTTTTTCTGGTTCCTGGGGAGCTCCTTTCCCTCCTGTGAAGGTAACCCCTACTAGGGACCTTCTCTGTCTCTTGCACCCACAGAAAGGGCGGGCGGGGTACCGAAAGGGCCCGGAGAACTCCAACAGCTGTCGCTCCCTAGCACCATGCAGGACAGAGGAAAGGAGAGCTCCCGAGGGAAATTAATCTCGCACTTCCACCTCCCGAGAAGTCCAAACTGAGAACTCATCCAGCCTCGGGGAGGCAGGAGAGAAGCAAACCGACCTCGCTTGCGCCCCCTCTTTC